GAATTAAAGCCGAGGCTGTTAAAGTCTTCAACAAGTTTGAAGCTCGCATATCTAAAGGGACGTTAAATATTCTGGACACAGGCGCTAAGACTTGTTAGACTTACAACTACGACCGCTTTAATCTTACATTCCCAAAACCACTCCTAAAATTTGTAATCCCGTCTTTTGTGTTAAAAAAAGGTATTTTACTTATGTTGGTTAAATTGACATTTTTGTTGTTGTAAATTTCAAATTTAACTAACGAGTATAAACATTCATATTCCATTCATATTAAAATAAAAAAGAAAAAATATATATAAATATAGAAATTTTAATTTGCTATAATGAATTTTGAAAATTTACGACTATTGTAGTTTTCAGTTTACAAGACGACGACGCAGACACAATTAATTTTCAGTATTTCGCTTTCATATATATATTACTGTTACTTAAGATATAAGTTAGTGCAATTAAGCTGAGTAAATTGTGCACTGCAGATTTCAAGTGTCTTCATAAATATTTCGTAAATAGCAAATAAATAAAGCACTATATATATATATATATAAATTAGAAACATTATGTTTTATATACTAGAGAAAATTATGATTATATATTTCAATTTATTAATTAAATTCCCATATCAATTTAAAAGAATATTTCAATTATATTCTAATAATATTCCAATAATATTCCATTAATATTCCAACAATATTCCAAAACAAAATTAGTTTTCTTTCGTTAAATTAGTATTAGCGATGAATGAAAATCAATTACATACTTTCAATACAATTAATTTCGTTTTATTTTTTTTAAGCCGAGCCAAGAAGAGAAAATGACTTTAATTTTGAAACAATATTGAGATAAGAGTGAAAGCAAATGGAAAACAAGCGACTTGGGGAGGGGGGAGGGTGCTAGAAAGTTAAAGCTATTGAAGCAACTTGATGAGTTCCGTTTCTGATATAAAACTCAACGAGCAGAATTCTTTCTAAGCATATTGTTCTTATCGGATAACTCCTTCAATCGGATTTTCTACTACTTTTCTTTTTTTTAAAGTACAAAAGGGTAATTTCCGTCTTTTCTAAGGAAATTGCCGACAGTTCTTTTTAATACCGGATTTCTGCCCTTGTCCCCCCTTTTTTCCCCCTTTTGACAATCCCGTTTCACCTTATTCGACGATAACTGCATTCAGTTTGCCTGGGCGTTTGCAATGTGGATAACGATATAACCACGCGCACGAGGCAAGTTTATAATAGTATCCACGCAGTAAGAGGGGGCAAGGGAGAGAAACTGGATGAGCACGACCTTACAAGTCACCTTCCCCGAGGCTGATGATGCTGAAACAACCTCCACAGATAACACAGCGAGAATGAAACTTCGACTCTAACAAGTATTCCCCAATAGTTTCTCCATGGATCCTATATAGAAGGGGAAAAGAGGGGGTTGGTCTAAACCAAAAAGGAGAGCAAGTTTCAAGAGATGTTTCATCCAAACTCAATTCCCTCCCCTCCTGAACACTAATGCCTTTCACACAAGTTATACTCCTCATGAATTAGAGAAACAAGTTTCGACCATAATGCAGGGAAAGTGTTTTTCCTAACGAAGAAATGACCTCACAATTCGGAACAGAATAAGTTGTAAAAATCAACTATTAGAATTTTCATTCAACAAAATTGGTACTTAACCGAAAAATCATTAAACAGAATTTCTAATTGATAGAATTTTCATTTGTCTGAAATTGCAAATGATCGAACAAAGAAGAATTTTTTTCTGAATTTCATATTGTTTCGAGATACATTAAATATCTTATATATTATATAACAAAAATGACATTTTTATAGTGAAATCGATAGCATTTCTGCAAACCAGACTATATTCAATATACCTATGGAATATGCGACCATATCGATATATACATGAATTTAAGGTTCTGCTGAATTCAACTTTCCCTAAACATATTCAACGACTCAGCAGATTTGAAAAATCCAATTTACAATGTTGATTTATAAAGACAAACAGATAATACAAAATAACGTTAATAATGAAAATTAATTAATAAATATTTATATTATATTATTAATTAATTAAATTTAATAATATATAATTAATAATAAAAAAATATTAATGAAAATTATTTAAATATCTTCCATTTAAAGTCTAATAAATAAACTATAAAATTTAACATTATTTATTAAACTTGTACATATCGTGTTCAGAAACGACAAACCAAATTCTCTTTGAGCAAATTTACAATATTTTCACATCCAAGAGATTTTATCCGAGCGAACGAAACTTTTCCTATTAAATATAACTCTCAATGTGACTCGTGTAGTAAACCTAATATATTCCACTGCGCACTGGATTTTTAATTTCCCCCCCCCCCCCCCGCTATATAGGTAATATAAAAACCCGTAAATGAAGTTACGCGAAACATTAGTAATAAAAAAAGGAATTCTCCAAACTTTACAAGACACGCAAATAACTTTTCTTTCCTTATTATTTCTCAATGAAAAAAAAAATTAATTGTGCTAGTACATTTCAATATTTTGAAACAAAAATATATAAATATTTTATAAAATGAAGCTTTATAGAGTGTGTAGAGACTATATGTATATATATATTTAACTAAAGACTGGCAACTGGAGTTGACATTAATTGCTTTGGGGGCCATTAGTAATCCAAAATGTAGAGAACAAGAACGTTATTCACCATTAGCATTAATTCTAAAACACGCGACACGAATGCCTTAATTCAATTGCGCGCAAGTCAAGTAATTACATCAAGATTCCTTGAAAGGATAATACATTATAATTCGGTCAAGGGAAACAATTATATTTTTAATAATAGAGGTCGGTGAAGTTCATATCGATTACGATCATCCAAAATTTAAAAACCAAGATACTGCATGACCAAAACAAAAAATTACAAAAAACTTAAAAAAAACATTAAACTTAACAAAAAAATAAAGTTCAACCCAAACTCCATTAGAAAAACACCCCCAGTATAATCCCTTACAATGACAATTTTCTAAAAAATAAAAATTTCATTACACACACAACATTATACCAAATTCTAGAACAAAATACAACTAAAAGTGTAGAAAAAAATTGACACCCCCATAAAAATAGGCGACACACCCCTACTAAATTGTCAATGTAAGGGATTATACTAGGGGTGTTTATATAATGGAATTAGGGGTGTTTCCTCTACTTATAAGGGGATGTCGATTTTTTTCTACACTTTAAGGTGTACTTTGTGCAAGAATATGCAATAAAATCGTCTGCCTAAGAAAAATTGAATTTTTTTAAAATTTTTTTTTACGAAAATCGCTTTAATGGTCATAAAATTGGTGTTCCTCTACTCGGATCCGGCTGTCAATTTTTTTCTACACTTTTAGGTGTATTTTATGCTAGAAAATGCAATGAAATCGTCTGCCTAAGAAAAATTGAAATTTTTTGGGAGTGTTTTTTATGATTGTGGTTGACTTATGGGTCGTAATAAAGGTCTTCCTCTACTTGTATTCGGCTGTCAATTTTTTTTCTACACTTTTGGTTGTATTTTGTGCAAGAGTTTGCAATGAAATTGTGTGTGTAATGAAATTTCTTTTTTTTTTATAAAATTGTTAATGTAAGAGATTATACGAGGGGTGTTTTTTAAATGGAATTGGGGTTGAACTTAATTTTGTTGTTAACTTTAAGGTTTTTTGAAGTTTTTGTAATTGTTTGTTGTGTTTATACAGTATCTTGGTTTTTAAATTTTCGATGATCGTAATCGGTGTGAACTTCACCGACTTAATAATAGAGTATATTATATAGAAAATTCTATATACATTAGAGTAACATTTTTCTCTTCATAATTATTAAGTTTATATGTATACTGTTTAATGTATAACAAAGATGATTTACATAATTTTGCATATATTCAGTTAACTATATTGTGTTAATTGTTTCAAGCGAGATCAAAATATGAACTCCATTGTATATTATAGTAACATCCTTTTTTAACACAACCCCATATATAATATCACGAAATATTCCCTTTATATTCTGTTAGGATGTGGAGAATATTCCAAAATTTTATATTTATTAATATTTGATTTATTATTATTTTGGTATTATTTTTATATTAATATTATGTTAATTATTATTAGTTTAAAGTATAATTAACACAAGTAGTGTTATTTTGGTGTGTTATTTTAAAAATTTTAATTAATATTAATCAATTTCTTGGGAAACATTCTTTAATAAATAAAAGGAATAAATAATTTATTAGAATTGAATTAATAAATAAAATTTAACGCAAAAAACTGTTTAAGTATGAAGATAAAATTGTTACTAAATGTAATATTGAAGATTTATCTTTATGCCATTGAAGATAGTATAAAGAAGATAAGGAGTAGGAAATCAGTAGAAGAGCTCAATGAAACTGACAGTAGAACAAGTTGTATGTAGTCAGGCATCCTTTTCTGTATACCCTTTCTCCTTTTATATATGCTAACAATAATTTTATTATGTCTACTATTTTTTCCAAAACTAACAGAATTTGTTTTAAAACAAGTTTAAAATGGAATATTCCATTGAAAATATTCCTGTGGAATAATTGTATTCAATTTCAATAAATTGAAATATTCCAACAATTTTGGTACACGGAGAAAAATGGAAAAACGAATAAAGTAACTTTTACTACTTTAAAAGTAAAATTGGACCTGTCCGAAGTTTCTGCGCATCTCTGGCAACTTTTACTCCAAAAATAGTAAAATTTACTTCAGAAATAGTAAAAATTACTACGGAAACAGTAAAATTTACTACAGAAATAGTCAATTTTACTATTTTTGGAGTAAAAGTTGCCAGAGATGCGCAGAAACTTCGGACAGGTCCAATTTTACTTTTAAAGTAGTAAAAGTTACTGTTTCTTTTTTTCCGTGTATCATTTAAATATTAGATGAGGAATTTTTTTTACCATTTGAAGTGAATTGAAAATAAATGAATAATATTATTTATGGAAATTGACTCTCAGTCTCTTACCTTGAAAGGCAGCTTCGAAGGTTGTTTTCTCTTCAATGGGATTTTGGGCGAGTGTTGTCGCTGCTATAGTGAAATATCCGAGGATTAGGAAGAGCCAATGGCGGGTGGGTCCGAACATCGTACTACCCATAACATGTACTCGTTACTCTCTCACGTACTTCAAATGATTTGATCCACTCTCCTGCAGCTCATCGAATCCAAAGGCTGTGTTTAAGTCACACAGCACTTATGTGAGATGTCTTGTGATATGCTTTTATATACAGAGGGTTTCAGTCCTCCAAAACACTTGAATTATTATTATTATTATTATTATTATTATTATTATTATTAATAATAATAATTTCTCCGTGATACGATGCACTAAATATTCCCACTTTTTTTCAAGTATGAGACAACACCACCTGTAACACACAAAAACACACACGCACACATTATTTTTAAGTGGATTCGAATAGCGTGAAAATGCGGGTTCGATAAACGAGGAGTTATTTCTCTCGATAACGAGGATCTAGAGCTTTTCGGTTAGAAGATATGCATAGGAAGAAGAGAAAAAAATTATTCGAGGTTATTGACCCCAAAAAACCGCGAACCAATTTCTTTTTTCGTTCCTCAACATCTAACATAGAAGTGACATCCAATAAAGTATGAAACCAATTTTACCCTTCTGTAACCCAGTATTTTCATATACGGGGTGATTTTTAGGTTACGGATTTTTATCTTCTAACCAAAGTAATGTTTTTATATAATTTTATTAATTTAGAAAGGAAATCTTCTAAAAGAAACATTTAAAATTAAAAGAAAAACTAATAAATTAAATATCAAAAACCTTGCGAAAATTATACATAAAAGTTATGTTTCAAATAATTAATAATGTTTTATCAAGTAAATGAAATGGTGTCTAAAACATATTTCCCAGACACATTTCTATGGAAATGAAAATATTTCACAACGTGTTTAGTTGAAAATTTGCGAGTTTATTACTCCATATAATTCACGTTGTTCATTGTTTCGCATAAATTTAATTTCTATGTGTATAAATATATATGTGAATATGGGTTTTTCTTCTATATATACATATATACTATAAAAGCATTTTAAACATTCCAAAAGCAAATAAATGTATTGTAAATACACTTTACAATGCATTTTTTGTAATTGAAAAAATATTTCATTAATTTCAGGGTTATAATTAAAAAAATGTTAACAAAATATTGAATACGTTTATAAATTACTTTTTTCAAACTATGTACAGATAAACGAATAGTGTAAAAATTAATTTGCACAAACTTCTTTTCCCATGACAAGCGTTAATGAAATGTTTAAATTCAATTTGTGCGCAGAATAAAATGACTTTTTTCTGAATGTCTTACAATATCGTATATATGTATATATACCACACAGTTTTTTCTTTGCAAAAAAGAAGTTTGCTTTTTAAACTAATTAAAATGTCATTTGCCACGGTAGAATGAAAATCTTTCTGAATAAAATGAAAGTTCATCTGCTAAAACATTTTATAAAATATTTTCATTAAAAAATTATTCAACTGCTAATGGAATATAAGAATTATTTCAAATGCCAAAACTAGCCAAGCAGCACGTGATATTATTTTAATATTACGGTGTAATATAGCAGTAATATTACAATTCACAGAAAATTAAAAGGCATTTAAATAAGCTGCAACGCTTATTATTTTAATCCAATTTTGCTTATTTTAATCCATTTTGGTATTAAAATAAGCAAAATTGGATTAAAATAATAAGCGTTGCAGCTTATTTTAATGCCTTTTAATTTTCTGTGTTTCCGACGTGGTACTTGGGTATATTTTCAAAATTTTAAATCCAAAATGCGGTTTTGACTAAATATATTTACCCAAAAAGCATGAAATAAATTTTTTCCTAGCGTGTATAGGTATAAGAATTTCATTTAACTACATTGTGCGGGGCAATATTGACCCCACTTTAATTCAATCCCCAGGGGGGACAGGGGATTATCATATTTGCAAGTGAAAAGTGTTATTTTGATGAATATTGGACACTTTACTAATAATTTACAAGTGCCTATATGATTTCGCATCAAGGCATATAACGATCACATTCAAGGTACTTAACTCGTTACTTCGGCCCAGATGCATTTAACAGCGCATCTCATTCTATACATATAGAGTATATATATGTATATATAGTTACCAACGTTATTTCATCTACTCAACAAGCTCGTAAAATCTCAGATCGAGGTAAATACACTCGGGAAAATGAATTTTGACGAGGAATATATATCTACTTTTCAATTAAACTATATACATATATATATGCTCCTTAAATAAAACAGGAACATATTGTCTCGAAAAACAAAAACCGTCAGAGAATATATCAAAAAAACACGAGAGAGAAATAAAAATTACTTTCAACTCGAAATCTTGAAGAGAATTTTTAAACTAAAATTACATTCTGATGATGAATAAGAAAAGAAAGACTTTCAACCCATCTTAGGACCACACAAATTATTCACATTTCCTTGTCTGTGAAATAAAATTAAAAAACTAATTTTTTTTTCACAAAAAAATATGATTAGAATTTTAGAATTCTACTATGGTTGCGAATAATAGAAAATTTTTTTATAATAATAATAAAAGTGTGAGTTTATAAATATTTCGGAAAATTATATCCACGTTTCTTCGTTGGAAGCGCAACAATTGCCATTTCCTCTAGAGACAGTGAATTGTCAGAAAAACTCACAGACTGATGAATAGTTTGACGCCCTACAAATAAACGCGGAACATCGTTTTTCCGTTTCATTTTCTCCTCTGTCGACAATAAAAACCAGTTATTAATAAATGTATATATCTATATACACATACATATATATAGAGGGAGAGAGTACTGCAAGGAAATTCATTCTGGCAAACGTAACGATCTTTCACCGAACGTGACACACAATAAAATCAAAATCCAATAACTAAATTTAACCTGTAACTTTCTACAATTCCCTAAATGTAGATCATAGTCCAATAAAATTAGTATCGCGCAAAAAAAAGTAATAGTCCAGAAATATTTAATATTACGCCACCGGAATGTTTTGAAAATAAAATATTAAAATATTTCACAAGAATATTCCAAAAATATTTTGAAATATTCTTTTAAATTTCCTATGAAAATAATATTCCATTCAGAGTTTGAATTTTTAATATTTCATGGAAAAATGTTTTTTATTTCGAATATTTTTTTTATGTTTAAATATGTAAAATAAAAATACCTGAAAATGCGTCCCTTCATATTTTAATTAAAGTTATACATGTATAAACGAAAGGTTCCAATTAGGTAAAATAAAAGAAAAATTTATTTTAATAAAATATGAGGGCATATTTTCAGATACTTTAATTTTGAAATTATCAAACACTATAAATATATTAAAATTAGTTTGAAAGAGAAATTCTTGATTAAAACAAAAATTTTGTTTCCTTCATATAAAAAAAAATCCGTCTGAAAATTCATCTGTGTGCGATAGATAGTCTTTTACAGGCGGAAACCTTTGTAATAGAATGCCCCAAACATAAAAATGTAATGTGACACTTGAGTAAAGTTTCTTGCAAAAATGTTTTATCTCCTTTAATTAATATTTGCTCTTCCACACTATGTGTCTATAAGAAGAATAGTCTATTTCGATATATAGAGAACCTAGAGCTTAAAGGCGTCATCAATTTCTCTGTTGTTTACATTATCGCGAGCTGATATAATTACTAGTGGTCTATTTTATATATATATATATATATATTGCGGGTTATCATCCCTTCCCTTAATAATCAGAAAATCGATTCTTCTACTCGCGCTCTTGCAAAAGCTTTTTGTCGTCTTTAACCAACTCGGTAGGGATAAAACCGTGAAATATTTTCTCACTCGATTTGTCATCAAGTCTTTTCTACAGATTTTGCAGTCGTAAAAACAAAAGTAATTGCTTTCATAAATCTTATTTAATCACTATATAAATGTAGAACTAATTTTCAACTTTTTTTTCATTTTTTTAAATCTTTTAAATAAAAATAAGTAACTATTTGATTAATTTTTATCTTCTACAATTAGAATTAAATTTTCTTTAAAAAGGGACAATTTGTTTCTTTTCTACTAAAAAAGAAACAAAAACATATTATCTTATTAAGTCTTTTTAATTTATATACATTAAAAACAAGTTTCTGCTATAATGCCACCTTTTTAAAAGCTCTTTGGAGTTTCAAATTAAAAGAATCGTGTTTCTAAGTGCAAATATACACTCAATTTTTTGTTTCATATTAAAAAAACAGTCATGGTGATTTAAAAACATGAGAAAATTTTTTTTAAAAAAAACAAGACTTTGAAATAACAGAGAGTTGAAAAAAATGTTTCAAGGGCTCTGAGAGTTTCATAACCAATTTAATTCGTAAAAAGGCAATGACACTACAAAAGCAATGAACAGTTCAAAAGGTATAACAAAAATCAAAGGGTCTAAATATCACAAGTATTTATTTTTAAGCCTTTAAGCTCTAAATTGACAAAATAATTGAATCCGAAAAAAATAATTAGAATTTTTTTTTATAATGAGAGAGATAAAATATTTTTGCAATAAATTTTATTCTATTCAATAATTTTAAGAAATATATAATATATTATTATACGACAATTTCAGGTCTTAAAATTTTATTTTATTTTTTAAATTAAGCCAAACTAATTTTATTTCAACCAAGCTAATTTTTTTTTTTATACAAATAAATAGTTATTTATCTACCACAAGAAAAAAATGTATTGAGCTGAAACAGTAAAAACATTTACTAGAATAGCTATATTTTTTCTTATAATATTAAAAATTACAGCTATTCTAAAATAAATGTTAACTACGAATATTTTTTTCTCATAATTTAATTTATAATTTTGAATATTCGCAACTAAAAAAATATTCACAAAAAATACATTAAAAAAATTCCTAGCGAGAAACAAGACCATTTTAACAAAAAAAACCATAGTGTCTCAAAAAATTGACTCCCAGTAAAAAATACGATTTTATGCATAAAAAAATGTCCTATGCAAAGAGAAAATAATGCCTCGACTCTATGTACACATCTAAACGAAGATTGTTGCCGAGAAACGAAAGAACAACCTTGTTTTATCGATTATCATTGATGAAAAAGCACACTGACCTTTTTATTTAGCATTTACAAGTGTCGCTTTTCTCATAAGCGACACACACAATTCGCCATCTCAGACTCAGAGCACTGAAATCCCCGGGAATAATCCAAAGTTCACCAATAATAAAAAAAAAGACAAAACAAAACTATTTATCCTTGGATTTATATATGCAATACATATACAATAACCAAAGAAAAAACAAGAGAAACACTTTTATCTAAAAAAAAAAACACCTTATCACGTACACAAGAGCTTCCTTAAAAAGGGAAACACGTTTATTTTATTTTTCTTTTTTTCTATTCCAACACCCCACCTAAAACTAATTTTGCACACGAATCAATAAAAATCGACAGAAATAAATAAACAATTAAAATACAATGATAATACACACGTTCTCGTGAAAAACTGACGCCGGATTTCGCGAAATCGGATCGTAATCGCCGGCCGGGCCGGTGGTTTTAATCGAACTGTGGCTTAAGAGCGACAGTGGCGGCATCGGGGGTTAAAATCGAGAATAGACGAACTAAACCGAGGGTGGCCGAGTGCGCGCGCAATTTTGAAATTATAGTAACCAGAGGGGGTGAAAAGGAAGGGATTGACTAGCAAAGTGCGATGAGGGATAAAGAGAGGCAGAGGAGGGGAAGGTAAAAAGAGAATAGAGAAGGGATGAGAGTAGGGGAAAAATACGAGAGCGTGAATACGAAAGGGGGGTTAAAGAAATATATATATATATATATATATATATACAGGTGAAAAACAGAGAAAGCAGGTTGTAAATAGAACACTATTTAGTTACACAAGAGACGTAAGTTGCCCGAAAAAAAATTTTCTTTTGTATCTCGAGAAAACTGTCGCGATTAAGGTCTGGGTTGAGTGTTTCTCTGATTCTCTCTATTTTGTAGAGCGGAAGGAAGCTCTTTTACAAGAGGGATGAGGGGAAGGGAGGGGCAACAGCCTCTGTTCAAGGGCTACGTTTATTTTTTTTTCACTTTCTCTTTTTCGTTAAAGCATCACGACAAATTAATTGGAAGGAAAACTGTCATTGACATTTTCAAAACTTTGTTTTGCTTTTTTTTTCTTTTTTATTTTACAACATGTGTTTATATAATTTTTCATTTGTTTATTTGTTTAAAAGAAAAGTAGATTTATTTTAATATCACAGACCTCGGATCTTTTTAGTCGACTTCAATTTCAAAATTAAATATTTAATTATTATTAATTATTTTAAGTTTATAAAATATTTATTGCTTAATTATTTAATTTTTAACATTATATTGCTAATATTGAAAACTATTTTTTTGAAATTAAAAATCACTTCAGCAAATTAAAAATAAAAGAAATTAATTTCCACCTATTTTTAATTATTCAAAAAAAATAATGTCACAGAACGTGAATGTATAAAAACTAAAAAGTTCAATGTAACAGAGGTTATACTCATACGTTTTACACAAAAGGAAACTTTCAAACCACACAGTGCTTTCGTCACAAGAGTTTTCCAATCCAGAAACCACACTATTTCGTCAACTTTTGAAAAATAAAATTACTTTGGGTCTTCGCTTCACGAAATTTGTCCCGCGTTCACTTTATATATAGTTCTATTCAATTTAATTTCATAAAATTTATAATAATTCCATATTTGTGGAAATAAAAAAAATTTTCCCAATAGAACAAAAAAAAGAAATAGTATAAGGAAACATTTTCACATTCGCAAATTTTCATGTGTCAAGGAAATTACGTTTTTCTCTGCAGTATTAAAAACGCAGTTAAAATGAAACAGCAAAAACACAACATGTGGTAAATTGGAGCAGTAAACAAGCAACGAATGAGTTTACGGATTTGATTTATGGATTTTACCCCACTTTTATTCGTTTTCCAATTACATGGTCTCAGATGTGTTTCGCGCCAAAAAAATAGTCCAAATTATTACTCAATAAGTAAAAATGAAATTTTTACCATTTTAAAAAGAATCCCCCTCAGAATTTATAGAAAATAATAAAATTTAGAAAATACTCATGTTTTTCTACAGAATCTTTCGAAAAACAAAAAAATTCATAGGGGAAAAAAGCTAATGAATTAACATTTATTTAAATTTAAATTTGTAAAACATAATTAAAATCTTCTCAAGGCGTGCGATTATTCCTTCACTTTCTATATACATGTTTAAATTTAATAGACAAGGTTCACCGGTTTCAGATTTTCCAAAGTGAATTTAATTTAATTAAAATCAAGTTACCTACGATAATTTTCGACATTTCATAACATGATTTCATGTAACTTTTCCGCAAGGTATGACAATTAATTTGAAAAATTAAAAATTCCAATTACAAATATTATAAACAAGAATATCATAAAAAACACACACAGCGAAAAATAATAGTTGTTTCACTTAGGGGATATAAACGAAATTTACATAACTAACACAAAGTACGTGAATGATGTTCTATGGACCAAAAGAAAAAAAACGAAATGAGTGTGATAAAGATGATAAAAAATCTGTTTCACAATCCTATCTTTCGTTTTCACATATCCCTGTTTACGAGCACACTGCCAAGCTTGAGAAGAAATAGTGGGAAAGGAAAAAATAAATAAAGAAAATCCCTTCCAAAAAAACGAGTGATGAAATAAAAAATAAACTATATCAATAATAAATATAAACTGCCTACCAAAGGAGAAATAAATCAAACAAAAGATGAAACTATGAAAATTGAAAGAAAACCTGAAAAAGGAAAAAATTGGAAAATAAAAAACTAAAAAAGTTCAGAGAGAAGAAACACTGGGGAAAAAATCGAAAAACACAAACTGAAAGAGGAAAAACTGACAAAGAAGGAAAAATCGATAAAGAACAAGGAAATAAAGGAAAAAATGAAAATATTACAAAAAGTAATTAATTAATTTTCACTTTTGAAAGAAGAAAATTTCCTAAAAAAAAATTGCGAAAAAGAAAATACTAAAAGAAAAATTTATTTTAAAGAAAAACGATCCTTTGTATAAAATGAGAAAAATTTTAATATATTACTTAAAAATTTGTAATTTATTAATAGATTCCCTTATTGCCTTATTTCTAACAATTATTATTTATAATAATAATAATAATCTATCATTTATTCTCGAGTATGTTAATTAGAGCACAAAATATTCTCGCCAGAAATCACTTTTTTTCACTCATTACTATATGGCTTATTCAGGAATCTCTCAAGATGATTCTGGCAGTATACAACAATAAAATTTATCTACGACGAAACAAATAATAATAATTTAACTTATTCTAAACAGTTTATAAAAAATAAACAGTTACCCAAAACTCTCTAAACTCATACACAAATATAAAATGCTCTCATTTGATTTTATGCGCTTAACCAGCATCGACAGAAAAAATTCCAACTTATTTTAAATTCAATTAAAAAAATTAATTAATCATTTTATAATTAATTAAAAAGCAATTCATCATATCTGATTAATTAAAGATTACAAAATTAATTTCAATGAAAAAAATTAATTAATTATGGAATGAATTTAATTCATAGAAATTAATCTATCTTCTTTAACTCATCAAAATTAATTCCTAATCTTCAATTAAATAAAAGTAATAATTATTTGCTTCAATTGTTAACATTAACAATTGATTAATTCAAAAAATAGTAATTTCCCACTAATAACACTCAACATATAATATACAAAATTTCAGTTCTGACCGAAAGAAAAATTTCGAAAATTCATTCTCCTATGTACAATTCACTTAATTAAGGGGATAAAAAATATTTCTGAACTATTTGCCTCTTTTTAAAAAAAATGGAAATCGACATATACATATATATATAAACGCAGTAAAAGTGTAAAAATAAAAAAGTGTGAATCTAATACTGTAAATGTTTCTATAGCTTAACACCATTCTTTCAAAACTTAAGCACAATTATTAAATAATAAAACAATAGTTTTTTTTCTTTTAAATACTTCTCAAGTAATTTAAAAAGAATATAGAATATATAAGAAATTTGTGCACATAAAATGACAAATTTCCATCAACAACAGAAAATTGATTCATATAAATATCAATAAGGTGTGCCTTAATATTATCCAATGTTGATTAATTGTAATATCGATGTAAATGCTTAAAAATGTTTGAAAAATATTTTACAATATATAATATATATTTTTTTATAAGTACAAATTCGTTGTACTGAAAATTGTTTCAATGATTTTCAGCAAAATCTCAAGGCAACCATCGATTCACAATCAGTCTAGCGTGAAACCAGATATTTTGTTTGATCCGAGGAAAAAGACGTATAAAGATTTTCAAAGGTAAACTTTGGCGATTCAATAAATTTCGAACAAAAAAAAAAATAAATATCAAAAAATAGAAATATAATTTTACTATAGTAAAACTACAGTAAAAAGAATAATAATAGTAATAATAACGAGAAAAATAATAAAAATAATAATAAATTTAGAAAAAAGTACTTACAAAAAGGGATATTTTCTCAAAATGTTTTCTTATCGTTCTTTGTTGTATATTCTTTATACGATTTCCTCAAAAAAAAGGGGGCAAACATTCGAACAGACGAATCATTCTCTCTCGTTTGTCTTTTCATTATTAGGTTTTCTCTCCTTTTTATTCTAAAGAGATAAATCTAAATTTTATTCATCCAGGTTTTCCACGTATCCTCAATTGGCGCCAGGACGACTATTACTATGAGCACCGCTGCAAAGATGGCGATTACGACAAAGTAGATACCAAAGACCAACTTCCTGAGTCCCGAATTCTGCAGACAAGAAAAAAGGAAAAAATAAAATAAAATAAAGAAACCCCAGTGAGTCGAATGAAATGAAATATCGATTATAGATAACTCATATTCAAACTTTCAAGAATATTATTTTTTTATTTTACCGTTCGATTTTAGTACCACAAGCAAATCAAATAAATCAAACTATGCAATGTATAATATAGTGCCAAACATATAGCAATTAGTTTAAAAAAAAAACAAAGTAAAACAGTAAAATAAAAAATATAACATTTAATTTAGAATATAAAACAAAGATTAAAAAATATTCTTCAGCGATGTAATATTTCAAAATAAAAAAATTATTTTTAACGGTACTTACGGGAGCGTCCCGCCTGGCATCTGGATGCGACATGGACCCACGTGAATGCATATCTTTCATGGGGAAAGAATTAACTCTCTGGCTTCCTTGTCTGTCGGAGATACAGCCAGTAAACTGGAATTTTTTTGAAAATGTTTTTAATTAAATCATGTTAACGTGAAATTAACGATTCTTGTATTTATTTAAATATCTCTGGTGTTTGTGTGGATTTTCTGATTTTTTTCCCGCCCAGAGCATGTACAGACGTCACATATATCACTCTTAAAAACATAGAGACAAATTTTAAATTTATGCACCCGTGCTTTACAAAATATTCACCCCACAATTTTTGAAACCCACAAAATAGACAAAAAAAACATGCTTACTCAAAGATAATATTTTGGTATTTTATTATATTTATAATATAGAAATTTATTTTATTACGTATCTTGTCGAAATTTTTTTTCGAACTTTTTCAATCAAAATGAAAGTATTATATAAAGACAATTTTAATACTTTTGTGTTGGGCTTTCACGTTAATTACTCCATTCAATTAAACTCCACAATAACTAAGCGAATTACAAAACCCTCATCGTAACGCGTCTTTTATATTAATTTAACAGAAATTAAAATTTTACAAAATTAAATTAAAATTTTAATATTATAATATTATTTTTTTATTATTATTATTATTATTATTATTATTATTATTATTATTATTATTATTATTAATTAATATTAATATCTTGAAAATTAATTAAATTATTTACTCGATTATTGAAAATATAAATATACCTTTTATACAAAAAAACACTTTTTTTAATTAATTATTTTCTGGATGAAATTAAAAAAAATTGATTACCGTTAACATAAGAAACGAACAAATTTAAAACAAATAAATGGAATGTTCTTTTAATTTGATATGATTGAAGAATCACAATGTCATTGAAGTGGAGGGGGTGGAAAGGCGAGGATGAGATATATACGGGTTTCAAATCCATTAATTTAATTAAATTGCAGAAAAGACCAGAGGATTGTCACCGCCCTTAATCTAGTAATATGTAAATTGGCCTTTTGGTTTCCTTACCGTGAGGAAGAGATGAGTCAGAATGTGGAAAACCACGTACGCGACAACAATCCAAATGACCCAATCTGGAGTCAGATTGCTTCTTATTCCAAGACTGAATCCATAGAAAATGGCAATTACTGGAAAATAACAAAAAAATCCATTAATTATTAAAAAAAATAGAAACATGAAATTTAAAAAGAAATTAATTCTTCTGTTTTTTAATTCACGAAGCGCAAAAATATAACATATCTTGATATTTTATCCTACATATATATGGTCTACTAAATGCGATAATTAATAGGAAAGTAATTAATTTTTCTCTTTGCCAATTAGTAAATTTTTCTCCATTTTTCACAGAAAAAGTGAATTTATGAAAAAAAATAATTTAAAAAATTATATCTTAAAAACAAATTTGTTTTTTTATAAATTATTTTCTGTAAAAAATATTCTGTTAATTACAACTTTTTTTATCTCCTACTGTCGTTTAATATTGTTAAAAAATTTGTTTAATCAATTTAATGTGAAGAATTAAAAAAGGTAAAAAAACATAAAATAATTGTATAAGGTAAAAATATTTCTAATAAAATTGCCTTCGTGGCAGATTTAATAATGAAAAAAAAATAATAATAATAAGACTCACTTCCACAGATGTGAGCAGCGTTGCCAACAAACCAATGGGCCCAATTAAAGACGGACCTTAGTGGGGCGCCCGGATGAGGCCTCAAGGCCGCCATAAAAGGCTGAATGAAACACAAGATTGTAGTTGCTAATCCCAAGGATGCATGTATTGTTTCATCACTCCATCTTCCCAGTTGAACGAAAATCACAATAAATCCTGCGAGTGTCATCAACCAAGTGAGAATCATGAAAAATCGATGCCACTGTACAGAAAAATTTATCAATTTATTATTAATTATTACTAATATAAATTTAATAATATAATAAATAATTTTCTAATCTTCAATAAATTTCAAAATAGAAAATCAAATTATCGAAATCAATTTCGAATTTAATTTTACAAAAAAAAAATAAATATGAGACAAAATTATAAAATCGAAGCAACGAAATAAATTGAAACATAAAGTAATATTATGTATTTTTTTACCGATTATAGAAAATTATTTCTCAAAAAGAAGGAAAAATTGAGAAACAAAAATAAGAACGAAAAAGAAATTTCCTTCTTTTATTCTCAGAAAACTCTTTTAAATGCGTATATTCTTCGAGTTATTGGGTTTGTCATCTCTCGAGAAAATAGAATTCTTTTACTGTCTTTTTGCTTCTTTTTTTTGTAACTGTACAAAGAAAAGCTCAAGAGAAACTTGAAAGCTACTAGTTTATACTTTATCCTAGAATGTGAAGGACACTTACGACGAACCAGTGGTCCTTTCCGCAGCACTGAGAGCTAACCCACGTCTGTCTGTAATACCTCGCAAGAAGGATTCCAACGGATGCTGTACCAATCCAAGAAGCTAACATCAGAGCGCCATGGATTCGGAATAAAATATTACTCGCCGCTTTTATTTCACCAACATCAGACAATAATCTTGCCTCGGACGATGGCAAATAAGTAATATCATGAAATCCAACACCGTTACCTGAACAAAATAATTTCCACCATCATAATTTTTTTCTTTCATTATATTTCTTTTTCTCGCAATAATGAAAACTTTTTTTTTAATTTCAAATTAATTTCTTCCAAAACTTACTGTCACCACCGGTTCCAGATGCTACGAGAAGTTTATAAGGTGTGCGAACAAGGTCGAACTCTTGTCCATTGATAATTGTCTTTTTATCTCTTGAAAATGTACAAGAAATTATATTATCACGAATTGAGCTTGATTCGAGTTGAACTGCACCTTCCGGCTAGAAAAAGAATTTTTCACATTAATTAAATAGGTCTCGTTATTATACCTCTCTATTATACATTTGAAAATGTAGAATTTAATGAATTTTTCAATATGTCGAAAAATTATTCAAATTAAATTGAGTTGAAAAGATAATAATAATTATACGAGAAAGAAGATTCAAGTCTTCAGTTTTTTTTTCTTTTTGCTACCCCCTCCTTCCCATCCCATTATTATTATTAATGCGCCAGCACTCTTGTAATTCAAGATCATAATATTCATCCAACAATAGACTTCAATTCGCAAATTGAATAACAATCGGAACTTTGATATTGGACTTGGTATTAATTAAAATAGCAGTTTCATATTCAATAAACTTTTCTCAATATAAGCTGTCTGTATCTTTAGATATGAAATGTTTTAATTAATATTTCAAATTATTAACTTTTACAATATCTTTCAGGTTTAAGAAACTCTATTAAGGTCGTATGATAAATTTAGTCTTTTATATAAGACAAGTCATTGAAAATTCTATCATCCAATTATAGTATTTTTTAAAATTAAAATTTATTAGGTACATATACTTTATATTAAATATTAATTTTTTAAAAATTTTCAAAAAGATAAGTTGAACTTTGATTAATTTTTTTCGTAACTATTTTTAGCTCGAGATTTTAAATTTATGCTAATTTTAAATATATGACGTTATGATGTATCACGTGATTTTAAGAAATTTCCAATTTGTCATTTGCATACCGTGCGAATTCGTTGGTTTTTTCTTCCTGTATTCCAAGACATGTAAAGACCCACTCGACCTCCCTCGTCCACACATTCAACGACACTGTCATCTCCCTAAAAAGAAATTTAAAACTTTATTGTTTTCTTACACAAAAATAGATTTTCTTAAATATAAAATTTTATAAACTTCATTTTAAATGCAACAATCGGACAAAAAATTGTTTAATTTATCAATTGAGTAAAAATTCGTTTAATATGCTCCAGTCAATAAATCCATGGAGTTACAATTCAAATGTATTAATTAATTCATCCCAAGTTCACAATTAGTAAAAATAATCGCAATTTAAAAATAGTATAAAGTCTCATTAAAAGAAAATTATTTACAAAATTATTCATACATAACTTTATGAATAAAAATGAATATCTTTATAGATAAAACAAAAAATTACCATTTTACTATCCATGGACAGTCCAACTGCAACATATCTCGCATCTTTTCCTTGCATTTCAAAAATGTAGCGTTCACCACGAACAATAACAGCTACAACAGCAGCACAATTTTTTTCCTTCTCACAACCAGACGGAGATCCAAAACAAATTTTAGTTGTTCCACAGCCATCGTAGAATACATCTTGGCCATAGTCGATCTGAAAAAAAATCGCATGATACACAATTACAAATTAAATCTTTTATAACCTTGGAATTATTAAAAAAAAACAGAATCAAAAATCAGCGAGTGTATAATTCGTTTCGTCAAAGTCGCGGAAAAGTTTGACGACCAGCCTTCAACTTAAAGTTAGATATGGTACGGGAAGCAGACTTCATGGTAGAATAATCACGACTCACAATTACCGCACCTTGCTGACTTTTGCATTCCGTTTGTCTTCAATTTATCATGTCGTTTCACTAACCATTGTTGAATTTTCAAATTCCGGACAACGGAAATTATATATTATATAGTCGGGAAAATTAGAGAAATTAAACATTAAAAAAGTCTAATTTTTTCAAAAATTATGTTAAACAAATAAAACAAAACTTTGACCTAGTAATGAATTTAGAAAAATAAAAAACCAAAAATACTTACATTCAGTGGGGTTGGACGATAATAAGGTGGAGTTGTCGTTCTAGGATTTTTCATTTGAGGCGCAGAAGTGTCCACAACGGCGGAACTTTTCAAGACTGTTATTCGCGGTGATTCCACCCCAATCCAATACGTAGCATAGTCCTGGAGGAAAGTTGAGCTATGAGAAGGAGAGAAAAAAACATACCAAAGTTTAAAAAAGTCGTGAAAAGAAAAGAAAACCAACAAAAGCGAAATACGAGATGAAAAGGTAATAACAGGGAAAAGGTGATTAGTAACGACTGCATCGTCGAGAACCGCACCGAGAGAAAACGAATTTACAACTTGTCATGCTAGCCAGTCGCACCACAAAATTCGATTTTATACTTTTTTAAAGCCCTCAATTCTAAAGCATTTTATTTAAAAAAAGGATTTTATAATTTCATCTTTTTTCACACTTTAACTTTTCTTTTAATTTACTTTTTTTTCATCATTTAATGAAACTATCCAGAAATAACGAAATCTAATTTTAAACTTTTCAAAATTTTTTTTTAAACTACAGACATTTATAGAAATAACTTTTAATATTAAGTTAGGAATGTTTTTACAAATAAAACTTACAAAAAGAGAATTTAAATATAATTTTAAAAAATAGATTTTAATTTTTCCTATGGCAAAACAATTTTTAGATACTTACTTGAAAACAACATTTCCTTCGTAATTATCAGGTGCCTGCCAGTCAAATTCCATATTCCTCTTGTCTTCTTTACTAACGTGAGTTACAGCATTCTGAAAGAAAACCAAACAGTTATTCATTAAACGTTTGAAATGGAACATTGAATTAAAACGGGATTTAAAATTATTTAATCATTATAATACCTATAAAAATTATTATATTCATAAACAAAAAATTACTTTATTATCATTATCAATATTGTTAATGATTAATTCACAAATTTCTTTTCTTGAATTTTTTAAATTTAGCCATATTAATAAAAGGAATAAAATAAAATCAATTTATTATTTTTTTCCATTAAAAAGAATTTTTACTTTAGAAAAATGCACCGTTTATTTTTCTATCTTCATTCAGAGAAAACAAGTTCATTTCAATTTTGTCACACGTTTGTCCTCATTTTCAAGTATTTATTATTATATCTAAAGTCTCTCAGTACTTTCAGAACTTATGTGAATTACTTTTTGAAAAAAAAGTAGTCACGAAAATATTTTTTCTCATTCATATATTATGATGAAAAGCTATTTTCAAAATAAGAAACTTCCTTTCTTCGCAAAAAAATGAAAATTGAAAACTTCAAGTTTTGACAGAGTTTAAAATTAAATTATTAAATTAAATTTTTAATAAAATAAATAACAAAAAAAAATTTTACTTACATTAGAACCTTCGGAGCATTGAACGTGTTTCGTTAAACGTGGCAAGTTTGAAAATTCACCGACATATCGTCCATTATCAATATCACGGGCAACAATAAAAAAGCCCTGATATGGAAGTCCCTCCGAACTTCCAAGAATCAATCGAACTCTTTTGCCTGCACTCGATGGCCAAATTTCATATGGAGGAGGTGAATTTTGTCTTGCTGTATTTGGATGACCAGGTACCATTGAGAAACATGTTTTCTTTGGTGCACCTGATGAATAACCAACGACAATTGTAGGCAGCACAAGATTTCCCAGGAGCAAGATGGAAAGAGATAACTTCTTTACTGTAAAATAAAATAATTATTATTATATCACTTGGCAAATATACAGAAAGAGAGAAAACGAAGTTTTCTCTTATATCAATTTATAAATATTACATTTTTTTTTACAAAAATGTACAAAAAGATATTCATTACATAAAAAATTCATATTAAAAAAAAATAATAAATATAAATAATAAAATAATAAATAATAATAAATAATACTAACTAAAATAATAATATAAATAACAAAAATAAAATAAATAATAAAAGAAATATAAAAATAAATGATGGAAAAAATTTACATAAGAGTAATTTTTAGTTATATACAAAGAGCAGTTGTTAAAAATATTAATGTTCTGTACCATATAATTTTTTCATTAAAGTAGAGAAGAAATACAAAAAACCATTTATGGATAATATTCATCTTTATTCTACTTTAAATAATAAGATGTTAATATCTTTTACATTCTTATAATAACAATGTAAACATAAATATAATATTTTATGTTAATTTATGTTTCTAATTAAGTAATTTATACTACATGCGTATTTCGAACAAAATTAATATTTTAATAAAAAGCAATTCTTTTCAAATAAAAGAAATTAATAATTTATTAAATAATAAATAAATAATAAAATAAAAAATTACAATAATCTTAAAACTTGAAATACTTAGAAAGTTCCGTTTTTTGCAACGAAAATAAAGTGATTATTATTTCCGGCGCATAAAATTAAAGAAAAAAAAGTTCTCTTTCTTCCGCGCCGAGGTTTTACTGTCTTCATTGATAATAATAATTTAATTATCTTTTAATGTTTAATTTTCATAAAAATATATAAACGTCACCGAATTAACGTCTACGGAGAAAAATCATTATCCGACTTTGTACTGGGATCATTGTTACCGAGAAATGAGCACAAGGTTTCAAGTACATACATTAATTTGCGGTCGACATTCGTGTATGCGTCAACAACTATACATGCAATGCCATGTCATTAGCTATGGTTTATTGGTCACCCATCTATATAGGTAGCGGTTGAGCAAGTGCTCAAAATGCGACAAAAAGTATCCAATTCCAATCCACAAACTCAGATTTATGGAAATTCAAACGAACAATGTAAATAACCAAAGGGTAAATTCAATTGAGAGAAACCGATTTTAACATTTTTTTCAGGGAAATATAATAAATATAAATTAATTAAAGAATATAAACTAAACCCCGGGGTATTGTAAAACAAAAAAAAACGACTCTAAAGATAAAATACAAAATAATATTGCTGTAACAATAATTAATTATTTTATAATTAAGAGCAATAATTATTTTCCGTTATGTTTGAAAATAATTTTTTTTTTAATTTCTAATTTTTATTTCTCATTATGAAAATTTTTAATTTCCAAATTTGTTTTTTTTTAATTGAAAGAATAAAGTTTATCAATCATAAAATGGAAAAATGGTTTCCCTTATGTAATATTTAAATTATTATACGGTTGAGGGAAGTTCGCATTCCTATATATATATATGAATAAGCACGTGATTAAATTTTGTTACTCTACAGAATTTTGCATATAGTGTGTTACAACTTTTTCCCCTGCAATAGAAAACACTCGATATAAATTGCTTCCCATGCATTTTTTAAGAATCAATGAGGTCGTAAGGAACATAAAAGGTTATCGACCACTCGGGCACATTGCGTGACTTAAAGTGCAAATAGAAAAGTTTACCCCATGAACACGAAAGAAAGTGCTTAGAGGGAGTAAAAATATTAAAAAAAAAAGAAGTCGAAGAAACCGAAAAAATATTATCTAACAATGAATATGAAATTCAGGAATTTCGATTTTAGAATTCTCAGAGAATTTACGAATTTAGAAAAAAATAATTTTAAAACATTTAATACACTCATGAATGGAATTTCCGATTCTGGGTTTTTCCATGATATAATTAAAAAGAAATTCGAACATGAATCATGTGAAAGCATGTTAAATGAAATTAAAAACAAATTAAGTTATTTTGGGTGGAAAAGTTAACATTCCGTTTATAATGCTCATCTCCTATTTGAACTGCATTAAAAGAGCATTGTAAGCTTTCTGTGTAATTTCTTTATATGCCATAATCAAGATTTGCTGAATCAGAGAAAGATTATAAATTAAATGCACCATTAATGCCTTCATTCGAAATATTGAATAATTTCTAACATAAGACAGAATGATTCACGTCTTTTACAAACACATACAGACAACATAAAAATCTCAATTTACATAATTACTTTATACCTCATTTATTTTATTCATACATGTCAATCTATATTTATTTTATTTCACCAGTCATCTCAAATCCTTTTTTATATAATTTATTTACTATATACGTTATATTTAATTTATCTACTTATTTTCTTCTTTATTTTCTAATTTTAAGAATGATTTTAAAATTTGTGATTTAAAAAAAAAACAAAAAAGAGGAAAAATTATTGTACAATACATGTAATAAAAAATTATGACAAAAATTCAAAATTAAAACCAAAAATCCTGGTAAACAGTTTAGAAACTTTTAACTTTCCCTGTCCAGTTCACTTTATTACTCTATAATTCTTTTCAGAAACGGAAAATATAAAGTAACTTCCCATAAATCATGACTAAGCGTGGCTTGGAACGCGGAAAACTTTCAAGAGAAAAAAACTTTTATTTTAACGCATCTGAATAAATATATATATTACAAAATTTCAATTACCATATATAGAAAACAAGATTGCAAATATTGTTATCAATTATTGATTAAATTAAGGAAAAAGGAAAAAAAATATAATAATGATAAAGGTTTATGCAATTATTTTTAAACAATATTCAATTATTTTTCTCAATAAAAAAAATTAGCTTGGATAAAAAAAGAAGAAAAATAAAAACTAACGGAATTACTTTACAAATCATGAGTCATCATTTACTTGGGAGTGTTACGTTCTGCATTTATAATGAGAAGCATATAAATAAAATCTTCTTAGTTCTTACGTTAAAATATCAAGATAACAGAATAACAAGACAGTATAATATACGTTTTTATAATAAAAAAATAAATAAATTACGTTTTTGCAACATTTGTCTCAAACTAATAAATATATTAAAAAAACTGTATTCCAGAGGTAAAAATGGAATTTAATTAAAACCAATTTGTTTTATACAAATAACGTTTTTTCAAGAGAATTTTTTTTTGAATCAAAGGAATGAACATTTTAAATAAAAAATTTTTTTTATTTAACTTATAATTTTATTATTGAACCAAATTTTTCCCGGAAGTTTATTTAAAAAAAAAAATCTGTATTGTTGTAAACATAATTATTTTAAATTCTTTTCCGTTATTGTTTTTCTACAATTTTTATATACAAGCACGAGTTGAGATTAAGAAACTGAGATTTCTACTTGAATGTGAAGGTTGCGATAAGTGTGCAAATCATTCTTCTGATTAAAGTATGACCTTATTTTATTTTCTATATAGGTGTGTGCTAAATTTTTCGTCAGTATTTACTCATATGTCTCAATGTTAATCATTTTAACCATTATTTTTCCTATTTTAGAATATATGACATACTTTGCAAATTCAATGTAAAGAAAAAAACCTATTTAAAAAAGAACAGTTAAAAAAAGAATTACAATTTTTGTCAATTTTAAAACTTTAAAAAATTATAATTTTTTAAAAATAATTTTTGGATAAATTTATTTTTATAAATATAGTAAATAATTAAATATTAATGATATTTAAATAATAAATATAATTAAATAATTATTTAAAATAATTTTAAAGTTAATTTTTTTAATTTAGAGCACGATATGATATAAACTTGGTAATTAAGTGATTCCAAAGAAATGTAAAACAGACTAAAAATTTCCTCATACCCTTTCACACGATTGTAGTTCATATACTCGTGAAAGAGATACTTTCTAATTGTAAGTTATGATAGCAGAATATGCGTGGTACACAATGTGGGATTAGAACAATGACATCAATAAAATATGCATTGAACGATAGAAAGATAAAAATATAATGTCCCTACAAAATAATCGGTAAAAAAGCAAAATTGCCTTTTTTTTACGAGAACACGCTTATCTTTCACTCGCATAGAAAATCAACATGAATGCTCTAATTTAAAAATTTATATTTATCCTAACAAGTGTTTCACAAAATTCGTTCTTCATTCAATTATAAAAAAAATCACTCTAAATCATTTCACATAAATAATTTCAAACAAAAATTTTTAAATAATTCTAATAACCATTTTTTAAAATAAAATTTAATAAATAAAATTAACTATCATAACATAACATACCATTGATAAATTTTAAAATAAAAGATTTTTACAAAATCAAATTTTGACATTGACATCAATTAAAATTTGCAAAATAAATGACAAATTTTTTACTGTTGATTGAAAAAGTATTTTTATAAAATCCCTATATAAATCATAATTTTTTTTTAATTTGCGTGTGTTATGAAAAACATAAAAAAAAATTGAACCATCATTTATCAAAATTCTTCGTTATTATTAATGTGAAATGAATAGAGTGTTTGGTAGTTAATAATGTCGTATGTCGCTATTGCAATTAGACCAGTTCATGTCAATTGCACTTCTGTCAATCGAATTATAGCGACGATCGATTCTGGCACTCACAGTCTATTCGTACCGATAAATGGCGATGACGAGGAAGTAATTAAATCGCGGTATTTCAAATTATTATTTATTGATTATTGTAAATTTAAAAATTCTATCATTGTAAATTCATATAATAATAGTTTAAAATTAATTTAGATTATTCAATATATTCTCCAAGAATTTATTTTTTGTAAGTAAGAAAACTTTTAGTCATTTCATATTTTGAGTTAAAATAATAATTATTATTTAAAATCATTATTTCAAATAAATATTTGTATGAAATTGTAAAATTATTTTAAAAGCAACACGAATTCATATATTGGACAGGAAATTGATGGATTTACGTATTACATACGCTATCAATTAATTCAAACGTTCCAAATACACGTCAGGTCACTGAACGAAAAGCCCATCTAGTATACTTCAATGTCGCATTATTTTATCGTCATGACAACCTTAACTTTTATTAAGATCTTTTTTTTCCAACGTGCAAAAATTAATATCCCATAATAACTAGATAATACTAGGTGACACAAATTGTTTTCAAAATAAAAAAAAACACCTAGATAGATAATAATGTCATTGAAAAATCAATTTTACGAAGGCTTTACAATTTTTTTTTTCTTTTAATTTTTGTTCTCAAATAGATTAAAAAATTTTTAATATCTTACAGCGATATTCAAAGAAATTTATTTAGAAAAATATTTTTCGTTTAAAAATATATTTGCTAAAAATTCTTTAAATAAATTAAATTAATATTTTAGTCATTAAATTAAAAAACTTTTAATTTAAAAAAGGTTTGAAGTTGAAAAAATATAATTAAAAATAATTAATTATTCTGATTATATAGAGAAAATTTTGAACTTGTATTGTAAAAATTGTAAACAATAACAAAAGTTTTGATGGAGAATAATTATTATTGACTTTATATTGAATCAACATTATTTAAAGAAATAAAACGTTCCATAATAATTGACTTCTATGTAAAGAGTTATGAATTTGAAAAATTTCCCTTTCACATATACATCAAGGTTAAATGTAAACACCGAAAACTATTTAATTACGAGTTATATAATATTGAGAGACGAGCGATAAATGTTGCAATCGCTAAAGATAATATGTGTAATACAATATACGCGTAATAATTTATAAATGAACGTATTAATGATCTTCAATTATTATATTATCAATTTTCCTACAATATTTATTTCCGCTTGATAAAAATCTTGATTAAGATTAAAAAAAAGAAATTCAATTAATTAAACGATTAATCAATAATTCATTAAAAAAGTTTTAATTAATTGATTGTCATAAAATCATAAATTTTTCATTTCTTTCAAATCTAATAAAATCAGAACATTTTTATGGAATGTAATGTATAAATTTATTTATTAAGTTAATTCATCAAAAATGGATTAATCGTTTAATTAATACATATATAATAATGAGTTTTAAATTAAATTTATTCATTTAATTAGTATGCTTTAATTGAATTAATTAAAAAAAAGATTATTTAATAATAAAAAGCTTTAAAATATATTTTTTAATTTTAAAGTTATAATTATTTTTGAAAGTTTTATGGAGAGTTTAAAAAAATATATTGATAGATATTTAAAACGTTTGCAAAAGTAGGTCTCCAGAAGTTTTATAGATATACCGTAAGAATTCACGGTGAGGCAAGATTTCTGAATGAAAAAATTTTAATTTCAAATTTTCTTTAAGATAAAATAGGTATATCTATTTAAAATCCGATATTTTCGAGGGACAAAATTTAATTAATCAATTAATTTCTAATTAAACAATTTACTGGCAAATTATATGTATAAAAATTCGAAATATTTTTACATGAATAAATAAAAATTGATAATTTTCAAAAATATGAAATATTTTTTTTCTATTTTAAAATAATATTTATTAAAATTTTTAAAAAGTTTTTTTATCACTTAATAAATATTCAAATTTTTGGTTAAATTTAATATTCCAAATTACTTTTTGCTAAAAACATTTTGAGCTAAAATTTTTTTAAATTTTAGTTAATTAAGAGACACAATTATAAATTGTAATTAATTAAATTTATCGAAATTTTTGGGAAACAATAAAAGTTTATATTTTTTTTCAACGCCTAAGTCTAATTTTCAAAAGCCTATAATTATACTCTTCTGAAGACAAAACTTAAAATACAAACTCATCTAAATATTTTGATATCCAAGGATTCACAAGTTAGAAAGAAAAATAGAAAATTTTCCTGTTAGTTAAAGTCTTTGCGGAAAAGATCACGTTTTTTTGCAGTTGACTTACGAGTTTTCATGATGTTGCTAAAAATGCTTTAATTCTTCAAAGATCGTATTTTCTACACCTTCAATATGTATACATAAATAAAACAACTGTCTAAAGAAGAGAAATTTGTGAAAACAAAGTGAAACCAAGTTCCGAATTCAATACGCACTAGATCGACACTTTTTTTTTTTAAATAATCCACCTATCGAAAAATCATGAGTTTCAGAAAATTTCTTCCAAATTCAACCTTAACACTTAACACTGATAAACACTAATAAACACTAATAATAAATAAAAAAAATCTACACACACACAATTAAAATCCACAATATTTTCGAAGAGCAATTATTTTCTTTGCAAATATTTAATCTTTAATTTTTTTCTATTTCAATTTCAAAACTATAATCCCAATGCGCAGGTCGCAAAACTTTCACGGCAATAACACGTTTTTTGAATATTTATATTTTAAAAAAAATGTTTGTCTATGTTTTGGTGAATTTTTTTTTTTCAAAAAGAATTTGAAACACCTGTTGATAGTGAGGAGAGCATAGTTCTTACGAGAACCACACCTTACAAGAGACCGTACGGTTGTACAGGAATACACGGATATTCCTTTCGAATACATGGATCGAAAGGCCCTCGCCCGCGCGAATATTTCAGGGCCGTAAGAATTCTTGGTATTCAAAGGTCCCTGGGACAAATAAACTTGACCAATTCCTTCGAGACTATATATCTATATACATTTTACGATTCACATCTGGGATAATATCAGAACTTAAATTCATGTTATTCAAGAAACGCGAGAGAAGACAAGGTCGAAGTCTATGCAATAGATAAATGGAAGAAATATTATTTTAAACGAAAAATAATAATCTAAATTCCTTTATAGCGACATTTTTTAAGCTGACCTGGGAGCTCAAATAAAAAATATTTACAATACATTGTATATAGAAAGATATAAAAAAATATCATTTGACAAATTGAAAATAATTTAAATTCGAATTGTTTAAAAACATAAACAACTATTAAAACAATCGACAAACTATTAACAACCAAATATCGTTTTAAATTAGAAATAACAGACGAAATATATTCATGGAATGTAAATATGAAATAGTGGCATAAAATATTAATTTTGAAGAAGGTCATAACATTTATGTTGCCCGGGAAATGATTTCGGTTATCGTGATAGAAGAAGCGAAAGGAAAGTTAACCTTTAGGCATTTTATTTGAAATAGTAACCTACAATTTTAATAAAATTGCGAGCTACTTCAAGAAATAACTTTTTCAAGTCAATTATTTTCCATCAGTTTAATTAAATTTTTTTCAATTTAATTATACCAGAGAAAGAATTTGATAATTAAAAAAAAAATGGTTCACAATTTTAATTTTTCAATAAATAAAATTTTTAATTTATTTTAAAAGTAAATTCTCGTTTAATTCTTCGGATTATATAAAGATAATATATATAATTCCTGAAAAGCAGAAAAGATAAATCTTTTGTTCCAAAACTGACAGTGAACTTTCAGGGACAGTAAAACCTTGACGCGTAGTACCAGAAATATAAACTTTTTATCTCATCTTTCTTTTTTAACTGATATGGACCTTGTAAATGTACTTCGTGAGTTTCAATTATTTATATTTTAAGAGTTAAATATTTCGAAAATATATTATAATTAATATATATGATTTAAAAAGAAAACACACCTTCAACTGAAATGAATGTTCCAAAACACAAACAGCTCAGGATGCTCAAAAAAAATTAATTCAGCAGTTCTAAGAACAAACAAAGAAAATATTAATAAAGTAGAAAAAAATTAGTGTTAGAATAATTCTGACAATACCTGACAAAAACTGAAAGAAAATACACAATTAGAAACCTTGCCTAAAAACGCGGGGAAACGAGAAAAATAACTTATTACTATCGATGTGGTAAAAAAGGTGAAATATCCACATAGTGACAGTGAATAAAATTCTACTATAAGTCAATTATTAAAACATATAATTAACTTTTAGTAGAAGAAAAATAAATTAGTATTCATAAACCTGTAAGAATAAGATTAATAACCCTACTCTAAAAAAAAAATTTTAATTCTTTAAGGCAAACAATTTTTAAGATAAAATATTCTTAATTTATTCTCTTCTTGGTATTTAAAATAATACAAAACGCTAAACAAAAATTTAATCAATTAATAAATTGCATTTTTCATCAATATTAAAAATTTATTATTTTCGCGAACCAAGAAAAGTTATGCATCCTGATCTAAGAAAAATACATAAAAATAAAAAAATCCACCTGTTAATTAAATAGATTAAATGTAATTTAATATTGTGAATTAAATGTTAATCGATTTAATTAACCGTCACTAAGGAAGTTTTCAAAATTATTACAACCTGTCTACGCCACATCAACTTTTGAGACAGGAGGGACTCACTACTTGCTGACTATATAATGAAAAGGGTTGTTGTAGCTCTCTGCTTTATCTCTGCACGCTGCATTTTATTCCTATACTTTCTGTCCTTCCTTCCTTCCGTCCTTCCTGTCCTTCATTCCTATAATAAACAAATATTTAATAAAGTGGTTTAAATACAATTATTTTATAGGAATTAAATGAAACAAATTAGACTACACAAAAGAATGTGTAAAATAATTATTCCTCATTCCCAATTCTATAAAAAAAAATTAAATATTTACCATTATTGAAAATGAATGAAGCCCGATTGGAATCCTTCCAACTTTGAATCACAATACTTTCACTGAATTTTATTTGCAAATTTTTAAACGCGCACTGACTCGATAAAGATAATTAAATTATTTAAGTGTTGGGTAGTCACAAATTACAGTTTTTTCCAGAAATTAATGGAAAAAAAATTCTATAAATAATAAATAATCGTCATTTTAATTAATAAAAAACTTTTTTGACTAAGTTAAATTTTTTAATAATTTTAACAAAACAAATTTCTAGTCAATTGTGTAAATTGTAACGTGCCCGCAACACTGACTATTTTTAGAAAATATTTTTAAACTTTGCAAACAGAAAAACTAAACAAACATTTCACTTATCAAAACGATTTAAAAACGCGCACTGACTTGAAACATTGAATCAATTGAATTACAAAAACTTTTTTTGATTTGACTTCTTTTGTCGAACGTGGCTGTGAAAAAAACAAATAATTAACAATAATAAAAGAAAGTTGAATAAACTATATTTTTTAATTAATTGTTATAAATCAATTTTTTAACTTATATTAATTGTGTATCAATTAAATATTGTGAATTAATATTAAATATTAATGAGTATATATTAAAATAAAATATAAAATAATTAATAATTAATTGATATTAAAATGTATGTAATTTGAAAATTAATTATTAAATTAATAAATACTCACCATTTTAATTTATTCCCTCCAACGAAGACGATCAACCCCGGCTAGATGATAGTCTTCAAGTTATCTGTCCCCGGAGATCCCTCCTCTAGGTTAGAATCCAATAATTTGGAAAATAACCCTTTCAAGGAGACCGAGTTCTAATAACTTGAATTTCTCATTTTGCTGTCGGAAGTTGAATTTTCTGACAGGTAGTAGTCCATCAAATCTTACGATTTTCAACAATGGAGGGAGCTGAAACAGAGAAAATTAATAATTTAATTATATAAGTTCCTGGAAAAATCCTCAAAAAGTTAAAAAAAAATTGAATACATTTTTATTTTTTTATTTTAAAAAGAATATGCACTGTTCAAATCGTATTTAACCTCAAAATTGCATGTGAAGATAAAAAACAATTGTATTTTATTAATATTAACACAAATGACTAAATAATTTTTATATTTGTTTATAACTTTGCTTTTTTGAAGATCTTAACCTGAAAATGTGTATTGGCAATAATAATTTTTTCAAGATTAAAAAAGACAAATTTATAAAATTGTTTATCATTAAATTCAAGCCTCATTGGTTATGTTCATTTATTATGAAAAATCATGTTTTGAAAATACTATCAACTATTGTATTAAATGATATCGTCAAAATATACATATTTTAAAGATTATTTATTAAATTAATAAATACTTACAATTTTTATTAATTCCCTCGAACGAAGACTACCAACCCGGGCAAGATAATAATCTTCAAGTCATTTATCCTCGGAGATCCCTCCTCTAGGTTAGAATCCAAATTTTTATGCAATTGCAAATTTGGAAAATAACCCTTACAAGGAGACCGAGTTTCAACGACTTAAATTTCTCATTTACCCGAAGCTGGATTTTCAGCAAAATTGTTCATGGACCACCAATGGAGGGATCTGAAACAGAAAAAGAATAATTTTTGAGAAATTGTTACAATTTTATCATTTTTGGAAACAAATTGCAAATGGCGAATAATGTTCTTCTGAAATAGGATAACAAACATTGACGTTCGTTTTTTGTAGATAATAAGGTAGTGGAGTATAATATTATTGGAAAATATGACGCCCTATATTGAATAAATAAGAAAAATGGAAAAGTTTTTTAGTGAAACTCACCTTTTCTGCAAGAAAATAGTGAAAAATCAGAACAGACGCCAACGACAATGAAAAATTTTCAATAGCCAAAAAGCTTTAAGAAAGAAATGCTCTGATTGGCTGAATGCAGAAACGTCGGTTAGAGAAAATATTCAGTCCTGACACCTATCGGCCGTTTATAGAATTGATAATATAATTCTCTCAATTACCGACTTAAATACGTATTCTCATTGGATGTTTCAAATAAGCGGGAAGATTCGACTTATATAATTTTAAATAGAAAATTTTAAAAAAGTAGAAAAAATTAATAAAACAAACAATATTTAAACAAAAAATAAAGATGATAATTATTTTAATTTTTTTTAAAACCTGTTTTCAAAATTAAAAATACTAATAAATAATTTAATTTAATTTATGTACTTTAATTAAAAAGAATATATTTTTTTTTATTATTATTTGTATTTTTTATTATTAATTTTTGTTTATTATTTAATTTTTATTAATTATTAATGTGTAATTTATATATTTTTATAATTTAACCTTATTAGTTAAATAAATTATGTATTTAATTAAATAATATCATTGACATAATTAATATATTGTTTAAATTGTACTTAACCTCAAAATTGCATGCAACAATTAAAAATAATTTTGTTTTATTAAATTAAAAAAAATTAATGAAAATTTTTTATAATTATTTCAATTGTTGAATTTATTTTTGCGATTTTAACCTCAAATTTTATATTATATCTGGAAAAATATTTATTAAATTATTAAATACCTAAATACTCACTATTTTAATTAATTCCCATCAACGAAGACTACCAACCCGGTAAGATGATAATCTTCAAGTCATTTATCCCCGGAGATCCCTCCTCTAGGTTAGAAACCAAATTTTTATGCAATTGCAAATTTGGAAAATAACCCTTACAAGGAGACCGACTTTTAATGACTTGAATTTCTCATCTACCGGAAGGTGGATTTACTGCCAAATGTCCACCAAATGAGGAAAACTGGAACAGAGAAATTATTTATGCACAAAATCTCAAAGAAATTAGAGAAAAAAATATTACATTTTTGCAATGGTGTTTAATCGCCGCCATCTTGGAAAATACTACCCTCCTTACAACTGATCTCAACAATGGACAAATTTTCAATATTATTTATAATCTATAACTTTAATTACTATAAAAGCATAAAAATATATTAATTACAAGAATTCAATTAAAATTTTTGCTACTGTATTACGTTTTTGGACAAATTTAACCAAAAAAAAATCGAGAAATATGACGCCCATACGATTTTTACATATTTTGTCGATTATTCGTCATCTATATATATTTATTAGGAAATTTATTGTCCCTCGACCTAAAAAACAGTTGAAAATAAATATTTTTCAAGAATCTTACCATATTTAGAAGACAAATGTAGAAAATATGGAACAACGATGTGGTCCTTGCAAAATTTTGGACAGGAAGAGACAGGCAAAAGTAGAAATGCTCTGATTGGCTGAATGTATTAAAGCGGGAAAATACAATTGTCCAGTAGTGACGTATGTCGATAAATTCATGAAACATCTTGTTGTTTCTTTTCTACATTACCGACTAGGCTTCCTATTTGAGTATGACGTCATTTCATTCTTGTTACCTTGTGACTGTCAAAGTGTCAATGTGGAGTAGTGTAATTTTATAATTTTAATTGACCTCGTCAATAAATCACGAGAAAATCATATCTAAAAATGTGTATCTAATTTCAACATATCAAGTAAGTTATAAATTATCTTTCAAAGGGATGCCCACTGTTATTTTTTTTGGCAAAATAACCTAAGGTTGAGGTTATATTACCTTTAAACCGGATATGAAATAATATGGAAAAAATTAAAAAAATTAATTTAAATAATTAAATTTTAATATATTTTATTCTAACTATTTTTTTCGTTTTTTTTAATGTAGGTAAAACTTTTTTTTATATTGCACATATTTTAAGATAATTAACCTTGTTGTTAATTGTTAGGAAATAAAGATCTTTTCTTGATAATTGTTTTCTAGTTACTCAATTGGTGCAATTTTTTTTATAAAGTTAAAAATTGTTTCTAAGAAGTACAGTAAATTTATAAATATGAATGACTCGTTAATGAAATTATTTCCAATTTACAGGTAATTTATTAAGGCTGACAATGCAAACGATAAAATGTGTAGTTGTTGGAGATGGAGCAGTGGGTAAAACTTGTTTGCTTATCTCGTACACAACGAACAAATTTCCATCAGAATATGTTCCCACTGTATTTGATAATTATGCCGTTACTGTGATGATTGGTGGTGATCCTTATACTCTTGGTCTTTTTGATACAGCAGGTAAATATTCAATTTTAATTAATTAAAACTGTATAAGATTATTCTTATTTTTTTATGCGATATTTTAGGTCAAGAGGATTATGATCGTTTACGACCATTAAGTTATCCACAGACTGACGTTTTTCTTGTATGTTTTTCTGTTGTTTCGCCGTCATCGTTTGAAAATGTCAAAGAAAAAGTAAGTTCATGTTTATTTTGTTGTGTGAATAATAGATTTTTTTTATTAAATTAAAAATGAATGAAATTAATTTTTTTCTATTAATTGATTCGTGTTTTTTTTAGTGGGTTCCTGAAATAACTCATCATTGTCAAAGAACTCCATTTTTATTGGTTGGAACACAAGTTGATTTACGTGATGATGTTGCCACTACGGAAAAACTTGCGAAAAATAAACAAAAGCCAATTTCTCCAGAACAGGGGGAGAAATTAGCAAAAGAATTGAAGGCCGTTAAATATGTTGAATGCAGCGCACTTACTCAGGTGAATATTTAAACTTTAAATGAATCACAATAAAAAGTTTCTTTAACTAATTTTTAATTTATTATTACAGAAAGGATTAAAAAATGTATTCGATGAAGCAATTTTAGCAGCTTTGGAACCACCAAAACCACAAAAGAAAAAAAAGTGCATTTTCCTATAAAAAAAAGAGCCTAGTGAAAAATTAAAAAAAATTGTGGAAAATTGATAAAAATATATCTTTTCTCTAGGAACGTACTATGAGCCGCTCGAATGAACGTAACATTGGACTCGTATTGCGTTTATCATTTTTTTTGCAGTATTGCAAAAATCACTAAAACATTCCGCAAAAGTATAATTGAAAAAACGAACTCCACATATCTGGTTTCTTACAGTCCGGAAGAGTTACGTTTATATTCGTAGAAATAGTTGATTTTTAATATAAATGATATTATCGTCTATTATTTTCTTGTCTACGTATATGAATTTAAAACAATGAATTTCCTTTTTAATCTACTTTTTAAACATTTACAATCTTGTAAAAAAAGCGTATTCTTAATATAAAATTTTTTAAAAATGTATTTATTAGCAAGATAGTAAATTATCTTTTAATTTTGTCATTAAATTGTAATAATTTGGAAAATTATAATCATCATTTTTAGAAAATAAGTAAAGAATAAAAAAAATGTAAAATGCAAAATGTTTTTTTATTGTTATTTAATTTTTAACATTCCCGCCATATCAGACATATTGCCAACATAAATTTTTATAAGATTTATGTTGGTATCATTGTCGTTCATATGATGGCTGTCTGTTAAGTCTGTACGTTCTTTGTGTCTGTGGTATTGTTTAATCTTTTTCTCAACATCGAACGATTAAAAAGTGAGTATTTTTCATTATTATTTGTATTTTTATAAGTAAATTAACAATACATGGACATATCGTTTATTGTTTTCAAATTCCATCTAAATATTAGTGTCGAATTTTGGTAATTTCACTTCTCACTGACCTTATTTGTCTCGCCATTAAACTACCTCCCGCACCATCCCCTGGGTGAAAATTATCAGGTTATGAATCTACCATGCAATCTTTATATTCTATTTCTCTAAATATATTTAATAGCTGTCGAATCTCTTAAGCCTTCTCTCTTTTTACAAAAATTTATCTACTGGAAAATTAATGTCCATGTTTTGATCGATTATCATTTTCCCAGCACTTTGTTTTTTTTAAACTTTTATGAAAATCTATTTTTTTTTAATTCAATATTTTTTTGTTCAGATTTGTCAAAAATGACTGCGAAAAAACCAGCGGAAGATTCCAAGGAACCTCCAGAGACAAGGATGTTACGATATCTTTACATTGGCAAAGAATATCTTGAATATCAACCAGGAAATTGGTTTGTCCATAATTATTTTAATGTCGATCGTGTTCCATCAATTGATGAAATGGCTTCAGATTCAAGAACAGAAACAAAACCCATAGAAATAATTGAATCCGTAAGTATATAATTGTCTATTATAATTGTTTATATAATTTTTAGTATGTGAAATTTATTTATTCTTTTAAAAATTCAAGGTATTTGAAAAAGATAAAGAGCTAGTACAAAATTTTGAGACACTTGTTTTTGCATTAGCTGTTTGTGTTAGGCAAAATAAAAGTGAAAAATTACGAAATTTAGCATACTCAAAGGTAAAAACAATTTGCGCTGCTCCCGAACATTTTTTGTTGTTTAATAAATTTGCCAATCAAATAACAAAAAGCAGTAATAAAAAAAGTGGTTCCGGCCACGGTTGGAAACGTGCTGTCGATGAATGGTACAAGTCAAAAAGTTACATGGAATTGGCGGAATGTGTCACGCGATGTAACAGCAGGTATGGATGGAAGCACAAGGATATTTTAAAATTGTCACATTTACCTGTGAGATCAATGCTTCCAGATATTCCCGATAATATGCTTGGTATGTTTATTTATTTTGTTGCCATTGATTTTTTTCATTTCGCGACTTTAAAATATTAAAATTTATTATTTTTTGCTAACAGTGAAGAATATCACGTTTTGTTATATAACTCATGGCCTCAAAGAGGTAAAGAAAATATTTGGTGATTCTAATGATCCTCGTTTTCTGGAACGTCCTAATTCATTGCAAGTTATGAAATATTTAGAAAATGTTATGGATTTCAAACATTGTGAGGATGAAGTTCGCGCTTCGGGTTTATTGGAAATTAATCATTTCACATTGGACCATGTTCCTGGACATTTTTTAAAATCAGAAGAGGTAAGGATTATTTTTTTTCTTTATTTTATTATTTTTTAAATTTCTTTAAATATTCCAGATGTGGAATTCATTGATGACGTCAATGAATTATGTCACAGTTCTTGAGAATTTACAAAAAGTTCACAATCTTGGCTTTCTAAAGCCAAATTCAAGATTAGTTACAAAAATTGTTGATATCTTGTTAGATCAAGAAAAATTGGACAATGAAAAAATTCATCCGGCTCATATTATGATAACTATTCGAAATTATGAAAATTCTGGAAAGTAAGTAAATTAAAAAATATTTTTTGTGATTTATTTTAATTTTCTTTTATTTCCCAGACCTTTGAGTTTTGAAAAACGAAAAGTTAGAGAAGAGGCAAAAAAGCAACATCCACCACCACCGGAACCAAACAAAAAGATTGTGAAAACCCTGTATACTGCGCTTAATTTGTCTTTTACGGTAATTAAAATATTTTTTAAATTATTTATTTCAATTTGTAAATCTAAATTTTTTTTAGTTTTTGGAGACAACTGGACTAAGATATTTGATAACAATTGACATGAGTCAAACAATGAAAGAATCACATGTTTGGCATTGTGGTAATATGATTCCTGCAGAGGTTGGTTGTTTATTGGCCCTCTCGCTTTTGCGTGCCGAGAAAAATGTCACAATTGCAACATTTAAAAATGTTGGAATTCATATTGCAAATTTGGATAAAAATTTTTCTTTCGCTCAAGCATACACAAGAATGTTACAGCAGCCAACAGGGATTGTTAATCTAAGTAAACCAATGGCATGGGCTACATTTCAAAAGAAAAAATATGACGTTTTCATTAACGTCGTTGATATGATTAACATGAATAATGATAATTCAACAGAAGGCATTAAAGCCTATCGAAACGAAATGAGTCTACCCGAAGCGAAGTAAGATCAATTTTTTTTTGCAATTTAAAAGTAGTTTTCAATTCTATTAATTAATAATTGTTTTTATTTTATCCAGATTAATCAATTGCATTATGTGCGATTCTTCATACCGCAAAGAATCGGTTGATAAAAATATTTTAACAATTTGTGGTTTTGATCAGAAAGTACCGAAAATCATCGAGGCATTTTCGAAATCATCATTTTAAAAATATCGCTCTTACATTAACAGCGAATGGGTACGTAAAAAATTAATAATTAGAAAAAAAAAATTCCTACCCATAAGAAACATTTATTCGTTAATAATACGAAATTGTCAAAATTTATTTTTTTATTATTTGGTTTATTTACAAACCAATCATATTGCTTAAAGATTTTTTAATTGTTTTTATTTATATGATTAGTGATTCTTATTCCTAGGTTTATTTTTATTTTATTCACGTTTACAATAATAGACACAAAATTATATAGACAAAAACGATAAAAATAGTACAATAATTGTTGTAGGTGTCTTGAATTGTTTTTTATTTATTTTTTGTTTTTTTGAAACCTTTTTGTCTTAATTTAAAATCACTTTGTACTTTTAAATATACAAAAAGTACATTTAAAAAAGAAAATCACTTCTAAATTATTTGTTGACTACCTCTTTTTCAAAACAGCAAAAAAAATACTTAGTCATTTTATTTTTCTACTAGCTTTACTTATTAACGGTTTTTTTTTTTAATTTCAACAAACATTTTTTTGTTTATTAATTTATTTACTATTTAGTATTCAAGTTTGTGTGTGATTTCGAAATACCTGAAAAGCAAAAATTTTCAATTTGTGCCAAATTTCATTTCTCGTTGATTAATATAAAAAAAAATTCTTCCCTTAATCAATCATTTTTCATTTTTAATGCCTTTGATTTGAGAAACAAAAGAAGATGAATCATGGAGACTGTATCTCTTAATCAGTTATTGTATTTCATTGAAATCTTCTTGTCGCATAAAAAAATTGCGCTACAGAAGAAGAAAAGAAACTGCATTGGAGAAAAAATAGCATTAAGACTGCATTAATAGCTGCCTAGAAAAATTATCTAAAGTAATCATATGGTGCATTTGTTGATTCATATAGAAAAAAAAATTAAAATTTTAGTCCTATTAATTACTCGCTTATTTCTGCTGATAAAGAAAAAAAGGAAAAAAAATAGACAAATATGTGACATTTTACATAAAATTTCAAGGACTGACGCGCCTCTACATGGAAAAAAAACCTTTTTCTTTTAAAAATAAATAAAAGAGAGTGTTGAAATTATGTCACTGTGATATGCATTTAGCCCCAAAGAGTATAGACTACTTATTACATTAGTATAATTTTACTGATATATTTCATATTTGCCATATCCAAAGTGAAGACAACAAATGAATAAATACTACTGAATAAATACTGTGATATGAAATACGATGTTACTGTTCGAAATAGTTGAAAAGAATATTGTAAAATGATAAAAAAAAGAAAAAAAAAGAGGCGCGTCACAAGTCCTGCTAAATGCGTTATGGTTATAGTGGTGATATATTAAACAAGTAAAATTTTTTTTAAGGCATGTACGTTAGTATCCAAAATGATACTTTACATATTACTATAATTTCATTATTTCGATTTTATCGTTCGCGGTCTTTTTTCTCTTTTTTATAATTACCAAAATATTTATACACAATTTTCAATTTTTTTCAAATTCAAAAATTAAATTAAAAATTTAACGAAAGAATATTTTTAATCGAGATATATAATTATTAAAAATCCACAAACGATTCCATCGAAATATTGATTGATTCATTACTCTCTCTCTCTATCTATCTCTCTCTATCTTTATCTCTCTTAACACTCTCACTTTCTTCTCCTCAATCCGCTGATTAACCCTATCTCTGTTTAGAAAATCCTCAGTTTGTACAAATCACAAGATTCTGATAAGGAAAAAAAATTGCCAATTTCTAGAAGTAAAAAAATAAAAAATGATTTTCTAGACTTTGGGAAATTTCTAAGCTTTAAGGAAAAAAAATAATAATTAATGGCGTGAATCACTCTCAGGTACGAAATACACTTATTAAATAAATAAACGTTTTTAATTCACGTGAACTTTTTGATGGGTAATTAGCGGATAGAGTTGTGTTCGTAAAATTGTAGTTTGTATCACTATAATAATATTAAAATATATTAAAACAAAAAAAAATAAAATAAAAATCTAGCTAAAAAACAGTACTTCACACGAAAATATCGATCAAGTCTGTTCGTTTTTGCGCAATACATTGATAGGACTTTGGTAAATCAATATAGGTTGTTGAAAGTAATCATATTTTTTTAGAGAAATTTTTCCTAAAAAAAACCACAAAAAACTCCTGTACTGAAAAATGCGCTTAGAGTAATTATTTATACATACACAGAATTACTAGACCAAATCTCGTTATTGGGAATCATTTTCTAATATAATACGTATTACAAAAAATATATTATATATATGATATACATAAATATATATGTATATTTAAAAAAATGAAGGAAAAAAATGCGTTTCTAGTTGCTAACTATACACGTTAACAAAATATAAAAAAAAGCAGTAACAAAAAAAAAACTTATGCTATATCAATATTTGTAGCGTATACAAGTATACATATATATAAATATAAATATATTAACAATATTTGCGTATTACAAGTATTTAGACTAAATTGTATTTATGCACATGGCTGTCGAAAAGGAACTTTAATAATAATTCGTCTTCTTCAAATGCGCACTTAAAAAAAAAATAAAAAGAAAAAAACTACTCAACAGTTTATCGAATATTCAATTTGAGCAATACACTATTGAAAAAAGCGAAAACCTTTTCGATGCCGTGTTCTTCATTATAAGGAAAGTTCTTGTCTATGGATTTTTCCAAATTTCAATTTTAATCTAACTTTTTGATACCAATTTTATAAATTAATTTCCACTTTTAGTAATAAAATAATCATTTCTACTGAGAAAAAAAAATTGTTTCCTAACCGTAGGAAAAAAAACTAATTATAAAGTTTAAATTTTATATCTAAATTAAAAAAATTTACGTAAATATTGCAAATAAATTAATCTAAAAAAAAATTCCATTCGAAGTAAAAAACAAAAAATAATCATAGATTAAGAACGATCCTGCTCTTAATATATTATATATATGTATTCACTAAATGTAAGAGTACGTCCCACGAAAAAAAAAATTGCGGCACGGAACTGATATTCCAAAATAGAAATTACGAAACAAAAAAAAATTGTGTATGTAATTTCTTCACTTTGTCACAATAATGAAACGAAAATTTCATTAAAAAAAAGCCGATTTTGTGATTATCGAAAACAATATATTAAATGTGTTCAATACTAGACGAAAAGAAAAAAAAATAATAATAAAAACCGAGACTCAGAGTCTCGTTTGTTTTTTCTTTTTTGTGAAAAAAATACGAATATCAATCGTTGCCTAGAGCATATATTCTTTGCTATACAGGTAATTCCGATCTTAATCATGAAGCACAAGTTACTAGCTAATAAATGTGTATTCATTCTTATAGTGTTCTTAAAAAAATCATATTAACTCTAATATTAGACAAAATGCTAGCACCTATGTTCCTTAGAGTTATTAAAAAAAAAGAACAAAAAAAGATTGAAAAAATACCTTGTAAAAATATTTAATTCTCGTAATCGCTTTCAAAAAAAAAAAAAAAAAAAAAAAAACTATGGATATATGAAAAGAAAAAAAACAAAGCTCAAGGTTTATCGCTATTAATTTATTTTTTCTAAATGGAAGTATTATACGAAGTCAATGCATATATATATAAATATAGAAACGTCATTCGCGTTTTCACTGTAAAAGACAATGATAAAAAAAAAATAAAAAAAAAAAAAAAAAAAAGAACACGATCACGAGAATTAAATATTTAAATTGTTGTGTTCGAATTTTTAAATTCACCGCGAAAGTCAGGATATATTTCGATGTAAAAAAAATGCCTATCTTTCGGCCTTAAATTTTTATACAAAGAAAGAGAAAAAAAACAAAAGAACGAGACAAAATGCATAGTTTCGTTTTTTTTCTTGCATTCCTCTGCGAGTATGTTTACATACTATAAAAACTGTTATCAATTTCTATAAACTGTCTTTTTTTAAGTATATCTTAATTCATAATTTTCAAAAAATTATTACGTAGAAAAAAGTTAAAAAATCAAAAAAAAAGAAAAAAAATGTTTTACATGATTTTTTACAAATCTTAATTGTGATAAATTTATTATTTTAAAAAAACAAATGACATCTATAGAATTTTAAAAACTCACAAAAATGATATTTTCACGGAAGAAACGAGTTTAAAATATCACGAGAAAATAGTTGGATTTACTTAATTTGAGAAACTCAAATGATGTCAATTTTTTTTTTATTGTAAATCATTTTTTTGATCATTATTGTTATAGTATTTTGATATCACATGATAAATGAAAAAAAAACTATGGAGTTTAATAGGAAGAAAATTCGTTACAGATTTTACTGTTTTCTGTTAAAAATTTTAAAAAAATAGGTATGCGAATTACTCCCTGAATAAATTCAAAATTGAGTTAATTTTTTGTAGTTTTTATTAACCCACATCATTTAAAAACATTTTGTTCTGAAAATGTTTATTTAACCAATAATTTTAAGATTTAATTTCTTTTGTTAAAAATTGAAAAATATTTTTCTATACAAAAATCGGTTTTCAACTTTTAATTAATATTTCTAATATTTAAAACACTGCTTTTTTAAAAAGTACAATTCACATTAAATAATAATTTCTATTATGTAAATTATTTACATTTTTATTATATATTTAAAAATAACGTTTCAATGAATTTTTGTTTAAACTTACAACGAAATGCCAAGTGTCTTTCTGACTAGTTTCAGTGCAATTCTATCGAATTCATCACGATCTTCACGCCACATTTTTGCTGCATCAACATTTGCACCACTTTCATCATTTGGCTCGGCTAGCATGCTAACAACGCTTAATAAAATTTTTTCAACACTCTGCACGGGACTCCATCTTTCTGCACTACTTTCATAACCCATAGGATCATCACCAGGTGCATGTAAAATACTAATACAAACACGTCCATCGGCATAAATATTTGGATGAAACATTTCACAAGTAAATTGCATTTTTGGTGGACTCAATGGATAATCAGGTGGAAATATTAATTTAGCTGGAAATACACCACCCTCAAAGCATGTTCCTTCTGGTCCTGTTATTAATGCTTCCCATTCAAAAAAATTTTCCTCATTAATAGGTCCCGCTATTATTCCTTCTGGTGGATTTAAGGTTAATTGTTTATATTCAGCCATTAATCGTCTCAATGCTGAGCCAGCCATTTTTTATATATATTTTTTCGTGTATTTAAAGAGAATCTATTTATTTTCAATTAAATTAAACCTGTTTTGTATTACTTTAAATTTATTTTAAATCTAAAAGAATAATTAATTTGTAATTTTCCTGTCACTTTTTTTAAAATTTTGTTTATTTTATATACTTACATTGTTCAATTTATTATTCTCTGTATTTTTAAACTTTCCTTATTTCAACAATTTTAGTACCATTTTCCACAATAATAATATAAAAATAATGTATTTTTATGATGACAACATTGACAACTGTACAGAAGCCATTTTGTTTACATAACCAAAAAGTTTTGACAGTCGCCGCCATGTTTGAAAAATTAGTTCCTGACGGCTCCGTCAAATATTCCCGCGCTAATTTCAATTCCTTCATTTCCCAAAATGGCGCATTCTTTACTTCCGGTTTTAGAATTATTTCTATTTTAGTTTGTAACGGTTTTTTCTCAACGTAATTGACAATTTTCTCTATTAAATAAGAGATTATTAATGGTGAATTAAGTATTTTTCTGGTGTCAATTCTTTTATTTACAAGGTGACATCAATTACCTGCATATAAATATAAAGGTTTGTAATTTTAATTCTCAATTTTCATACTTGTCAATAACATAACCTAAAATAATTCAATTGTAAATTTTTTCCATATAATTTTTTGTTTTATTTTATTTGATATAGATTCAAGGATAGATTAATATAAAGTAATTATATGAAACTTACAAAAATAATTATAAATTCTCAAAAATATTTAGGTTATGTATGCGAAATTATAGTACAAACATTGTCTAATTCAAAACATTTATTTTTAAAATTTCGGTCTTGTACAAAATTCTTTTTTTGTTTTGATTTTCTACTACATATTTTTTTCCCGAACAAAAAAAAAGAAATTCAGGAATTTTTTACGGCGGCTTTATTAACCAAGACCGAAGTGGGGGGGTTATTGGGAAAAACCACCCCACAAGCCGCCGTAACAACTTCTTCATTAGCTGCAATAATTTTCTTGAAATTGTGCTTTGAATAACGATTATATAAACCCCAGATACTATTCATCAATTTACTGTTATATTGAAGTGGTGTCAGCTCCATTCCTATAAGCGTTATAAAAAAAATTAAAAATATTAATTATTTATTAAAGTACACTTTAATAAAAATTATTTCGTACCTTCTTGAATACATTTAGAATAGAAATAATTTCTTCCGTCTTCTTTGTTTTCAGTTTTTGAATTTAAAATCAATTTATTATTTTGACGCACTTTACGAGTGGCAAAAACTCCCTGTGGTATTGACGACATTTTACAATCTGAAATTTATCATAAAAATTTATAATAGTAAAATAATTATTTTACTATATATTTTTTTTATTTAGCTATGCAAAAATTAGAAATATTTTCAATATTTTTGAAAAATAACCAACCAAGACAATGTTCAAAAAGCAATTCTTCAAATTGTCTTTTTGTATATGTTCCCAAAGTTTTGTGGTTTTTAAATTCAATTGAAAAATTCAGTTTATCAGTTACTTTGATAACTTTGCACAGATAATGAGATTTACTTTTTTTTCGAAACCTCATTCGATTCGTATAAAACCAATTTTTTTTTAAATCTCCAAACAAAATCTTTTTGAGTGATTTTTAAAACTTGGATTTTTTTTCAAAATTGGATTATTTGTTTTTTTAAAAGAATACGAATGCTTTTAGATTTGGCGACACTTGCTACTGCTGAGAGTGAAACGAATAAACTGGCACGTACTAAAACATGATGTTTGTTTTAAGAAATCCATATCGATTCTTGACTATATAGCTAAAAGAAGAAATTTCATCTCGTGAATTAATGACGTGACAAAAGATAAATCGAGTACAGAATATCGCCAGACACCAAAAGCTCGTTGTTAATATTTTCACAGTCATCAACGTCAGTGTTGACCTTATCGTCATTTAGATTATTTTATCTAAACTCAACAAGTTCGCAGGGAGTCTCACAAATTATTACTTGCAACTGGAAATTATGTTATGCGCAATAATAATTGTTGGAAAAACTCGACAAAGGAAAAAGACAAATTCTTTTTTTTCTTCGGGGTAAATAAAAATAATTACATTTAGTTTTGATAAAAATAACAATTGAAAAATTCATGAAATCAATTCTAAAAATATAAAAATAACATAAGATTTTTAAGATCGATAATAATTGTCTTTAAAATGATAATTATTAATTTTATTTAATATTGAGAAAGTGGATTTCGAAATGATTAATATAAATCAATATATATAATGAAAAGAAATGAAACAATGTTTCTGATCTCTGGCTGGGTCGAAGTGCTTCTTTTATCATTTTCCTGCTTTTATTTTATTTTATTTGGTTTTTTTTCGTCACAAGTATCTTTTAGTTTGTTCATTGTTTGCATAATAATTTGCAATCTCAATGTGAAAAAGTCTAATTTTATAGAGTAATGATCTACTTTTCTAATTTTCTTATTGATCAATTTTAAAATTTGCGCCTATTATTGTAGTTTAGAAAAAAAAATGATAACATTCAATTTCAATTTAATAGAAAACTAATTATTTAATATTTATCAAAATTTATTTTATACAGCAATAATTTTTCTATTTTTGACACGTGTTTTCATTGTGCAAAAACAATATTTGAACTTTGTAAATAGAATATTAAAAATAGTTGTTTGAAATAGAAATAATGTGATACAGAAATCGATAGAGTGTATTAAAAATTAAAATATCAGATGTTTAGGAAAACAATTTTTTAAAATGAATTTTATTTTCAGAATAATTTGTAAAAATAGATTTCTTTTTCTTAGATTATAGAAATCAATCTTGTTCATAGTTATGACTCCAAGATGGTTTTCGTTTTTCGATGAAACTTTTAATTCCCTCTTGTGAGTCTTTTAGTTTTAAATTTTCAATCATAATTTCCGTTCCCAATGAATAGGCTGTCGCTATATCGACGTCCAATTGTTCAAATAGAAATCTTTTTCCAATTTGTAACACCGATCGACTCTGGGAATTTATTGCATTTGTGATCCTTTGAATTTCTTCCTCTGAAAACAAAAAATGTTGAGTCACAAATTAATTGAATTTTAAATTTTTACTAAAAATTTATTAGACAAAAGCGTTTTAGAAAAATATTTACCAAGTTTGTCATTTGGTACAACTTTGCTAACAAGTCCAGCATCATAGGCTTCTTTTGCTGAAATCGGTAAACCGGTGAATAACATGTGAAATGCAACTTTTCTTGAAACATTTCGTACCAAAGGAATTCCCGGTGTTGAACAAAATATTCCAACATTCGCTCTAGAAAAAAGCAAATATGGAGAAATTGAAATTTTATTTTTATTATTATTCGAATATGTATAATTATTAATTGTTAAAAATTTACTATAATTAATGCCTCATTTTTTTATCGAAAAAATAAATCTATTTTTTTGTACTAACTATTTTCTAATTTTTCAGATTACAATTTATTTTATACCCGGGAGTTGAGAAACTGCTTTTCTCAGTGCAAATTGCTATATCACAAGCTGCAACCAATTGACATCCAGCTGCAGCTGCCAATCCATCAACTGCAGCAATTATTGGTACTGGACATTGCATAATTTCTTTCATAAGCATTTCAAACGTCTCAAATACTGCCAGGTGATGGCTCTCTCTGTTTTCTGACGTCTAAACGACGTAATTAATAATGAATCTGGTGAGATAAAGTATTTTTATTTTCGATAAAAATTCTAATTTTTAAATTTCAATTTTCACTACATTTTTGAATACACAAAGAATATTATATTTACCAATTCCTTTAAATTATGTCCAGCTGAGAAAACTTTCCCAGGTGAAGCTTGAATAACAATTGAACGAAGTTCATTATTTTTCACATCATTGGAAATATTGTATAAAAGTATATTTATCGTTTCTAACGAAAGTGAATTCCGTGATTTTGCATGATTTAACGTTATTCTTCTCACCTGAAAATGAAAAAAATATATATATTAAATTTTTACATTCTTTTGAAATATGAGAAAATTAAGAAACTTTTCATTTTTACGTACCCCATTTTTTTGTTCGATTTCCACATGTTTTTCCTTCGAGGTCAATATCCTGCTTGTTGATATTGTCCTTGTAATAGATCCGCCTACCTAAAATATTAAAATTCAACGCGATATTAATAAAGTTAGATTTATTTAAATTGTCGTTATTTCAATTTTGTATCGAAACAAATTCCTCGTCACTAGAAGCAAAATTTAAATTCTCTTTTTTACATCACAGATTATACTTTATTAGTAGCAGTAAAATAATATATTCTGTCAAATAAATTATTTTTGCCTTTCGTTATTTATTAGAAATTGAATAAGAAACTTTTTTTCAAGATGAGAAAAATAACAAGAATGAGATAATTTTAATCGCAGTTTTATTGATTTTTGATAATAACTTCAACTCAATGTTATTTTTAAAAAATAATATTAAAAACATTAATATTGAAAATCAATTATTAAAAACAATTATTAAATTTAATTATAGTTGTTAATTATATAAATTTTAGAACTTAATTATTAATATAAAAATTGTTTAATAATTTCTGATTACAATTAATAATTATTATTACCAAATTGTTGATCGAAGAAAATATTCGTCTGCTCGAGAAACTTAACATCTTATCTATTGACCTGAGAAATTTTACGTACTTTGCTATTACACTTTTTTTTTTAGTTAATTTTCGTAATTAATGATAATTAATGAATGTGATGATTGTCACGTATACACTGTCTTTTTTATAATCAGGGGATGGATATAACCTCAACTGAACCTGATCGTGAAATATCAACTTTGTGAATTTCAATTTATCCAGTAACGTATTTTCAGGGATCATATAAAATTATTCGCAAAAGAAATAAATGCAATTATTTTTATCTTATTTTTGGAAAAATTTTCCAAAATAAGCATTTTAAAAATGATAATTTTATTTGAGAATTTAAGGGAATCACAAAAGTTATTATTTTATAATTAAAATAAAATATAGAATAGCACCGGTTTTTTTGCTGCATTATTTATACAAAATTAATTAACTTAAATTTAATTAAATTTAATTAAAATCCCATTAAAAATTAACTAAATACATCTGTAAAATTTACTTCCAATAATTTATATTTTTAATTAATTATGAGTATAATTGCTAATGGAAACGGTCTAATTAATTCTGGAAAGTTTTAAATACAATCTCTTAATTATATACAGAAATCGACAAAACAAATATTGAAAATCCGGTGATGGTTGATATAGAAACAAAACTCTTTACAAAACCCTTCTAAGATACAAAGAAACTTTTTTCTAATATTCAAATGAATAATAATTAAAAATTTTCCTTATTTTCAGATAACTGTTTATAGTTTTTATTAGGTATAATAAAAATTTTTAAATGATTAAAAAACCAGTTTAAAACATAATTTTGAAAATTTGTGGAAATTAACTCTCGAATAACAAAAACGATTGAAATAAAAGAAGAAAATAGTGTGGTAAGAAAATTTTAATATTTAAAAAAAATGATCTTTTTTATTCATTTGCATTTCTAATTTTATTTATTTTTTTTATTTTATCATTTTATAAAATAATGAACACTTAGAAAGTTCATTAAATTACACCTATGAAATGAAAAATGTTTACCTGAATAATTAAACTTTCTATATATATTTTAAAAACTGACATTGGAAATTTTATTTTAATTTTATTTAACTTATTATAATCCAAAGAAAAGAAACTAAAAATGTTTAAAATTCACGTTAAAAAGCAATAAATTCAAAAACAAATTAATTTCTTAAATAGAAATATTAATACAAATAATAAAATATTTTATTTTTTATAATTTAATCGAAGTTTGGTATAAATTTTTAAAATCTATTTCCGGTTTCAAATAAAACGATTATACCCACAAAGGATTAAAATTTAATTTCTGAATTTTATTATTTAAAAAAACGACAATGTTTTAATATTTCTTTATAATTAGTTTTTTTATTTAACAAAGTAATTAATTAACCTTTTTGCTTTTCTTTTAAGGTAGTAAAATACGATGAATCCGAAGGTGTTTGTAATTTCACATGTTTCGATAATAGTCACTATGGCAACCGGATAATCCTCGGTAACAACTAACATGGAAGACGACGAGGGTAAGTTTTCTACATGTCAAATTGTCAAGTGCTATATATATATATTTTGTTGTCACTTTAATTTATTAATGATTGTTGAGAGAAATCTTTTGAGAAATTATGTTAGAATACATTTTTAAATCAATTGATTTTTCTTTCGTCGTCGCACAGGAAAAGGCGCCCTTTCTTCATGGTCGCTTTCTAATTATAAATGAGTGAGTTGAATTTTTTTGTTTTCCATTAATAATGTGATTTTAACAGAGGAAAAATTTTCTTAAATCTCTTTCTTATAATATATATATAAACTGAAGCCCCCTCGTGTTCTGTATAAAAAAATACTTTTTTGCAAATCTTTAACTTTTCTGTGAGAAAAATTAACACGTTTTTCACTTCCTCATTATAGAGGGATGAGTGTTTACATTCTTTAAATATAATTTTTTTTTTCAAATCAAGCTGAGATTTGTTTATAATTCGTGGTATTTTTTTTGAGGGGAGGAGAGGAATTATGAATGATTTTTAATAGATTTTGTTCTTAAGTTCTTAATTATAAATTCAGGGATTCTTTCGTTAAAATTGAATTAGTTATTAAATAATTCAGAAAAAAGAAAAATTGGGTAATCTTTTGAATATATATGGAAAATTATTTACAATTCAAATAGAAGAATTCTAAACTGTTTTTAAAAAAACAAAGATTACATTTTTTTTTCTGAATTCCTATTTATAGAAAAGGTTATGACTTGCCAACATCGAGTTAACATATGGAGAACATTAACTTGCAAATGACGTGCATTAGCGGTAAAATTATTACTGGCTAATTTTCTCGTTAATTCGTTTCACATGAAAAATACTATTTCATTATAATTATATAATAATAATAATAATAATAACAATAACAATAAAAGTAATAATAATAAAAAATTATTATTATAATAGTAAATACAAACATCATTAATTTAATTAAAGATAAATTCATTGAACTTAATTAATAATTAAATTTGTTAATTAAATTTTATTCTAATCATTTTTATTTTCTTTCTAATAAAACAATTTTTTTGAATTAAAAATATTTTCAATGTTACTCTGAGGATTCTTTTTTTAAATTTCAGTGAATTAATTTATCCAAAATATGATTCTTTTTTTGGAGTTTCTTTTTTGTGAGGGGGTGAGGAAATAGAAGTGTCGCGCTGTCGTTTTTTTATTATTCTGCGACGACTTAAAATAAACATAATATGTATATTGAAATTGACGAGCCACATAGTCTGGAGCGGGGCTGAATAAGAAGAAGTCAAAAGAGAAATGTAGAATTGTATATAGATTATATACAAGTTTCCAGTCAGTATCTCTCTGACGGTTCTCCACTGATGCTGTGTTGTGTTTCGAAAAAGGCCGCAGCAGGGGCGGACCTAGAACCCCCTTTGTTAGGTCTACGTTGTGGTAGAATTATTGCAAATCGTGGCTCATCATTGCACGTGAATAATGCCGAAAAATTCGCAAATCCACAAACGTCTAAGGAGAAGGTCGATTTAAATCATCATGAAGGTGGGGGGACAGTTCTGATGTAATAGTTTTTTGTTTACCAACATTGCACATTTAAAATTTTTCTTCATTTTTTTGTTTATTAATTATTTCATATTTTTCATTTTTTCTTCTGCAATTTATTTACAATTTTTTTTTATTTATTTAGCATGCATTTTGACTTTTATTAATTTTTTGAATTTAATACATTTAAAAAACAAAAATTCTTTTACGAACACATGGAATTTTGCTTTGATGATAAATCAATTTTTTTTCTCAAGACAATCAAGAATTAAAAACTTGGACTTTCTTCTTATTTATCAATTGCTTTCTGTTGATAAATTTTATTTAATAATTTTAAAAAACAATTTTTCAAAAAATCAATTTAATCTTTAGATAGAGGAGTAATAGAAGGAAATATTTAATTTGCGATTAATAATATTAAAAATATTTTTGATTTAAAAGAGAATATTAGTAATAATACTTACTTAATGGCATAATGAGTTGATTTAATGTTAAAAACAAACTATTAAATTGAATGACTTGAGAAAAACCTTCTTGCATATGTGTGACATTTGAGTAGGAGAAAACATGAGACTTCTAATTATATATTTCTATTTGTGACAAGAGATTCTTCTTTTTTCTAACATAGAATTAATAATTAAAATTTGCATAAGTTTTTTTTCCAGTAGAGCGTTAATAATAATTAATCAATTTTGATACTTGAAGACAAAATTGTTTCGATTTTAATAAAAATGTAACTTGAATATATATAATTTAAATTTAATACTTATGGGAGATATAGAAAATTATAAACAGGTCAAAAAGTCCATGACGCCTACACATTTCACACCCACATTTTTCAAATTTTATTTTCAAATTTCTTTCATTTTAAAATCACCGATTTTACATTAATTTAACTTTGTTTTTATTGTTTTGATATGTAAATTGTTCATTTTTCCCCTATTAATAATTTTTAATATTCAGTTTTTAATTTGTATTTTTCCTTCTTTTATTTTATTTTTTTGTTCTTTTTTTATTGTTATTATTATTATTATTGTTTTATTTATTATTATATTAATTTTCAAGTGAAACATTAATTTATAATTATTTTTTACCTATTTTGAATGATCTTTTTAAGGTACTATAATCATATTATTAATTGGCAGAAAAAATTGATAAATTATTTTTTTTTGTTTTAAATCGAGTGAAATTTACATAAATTTTTACGATCAAAAAATAATGTAATAAATTACATTTCTGATTACTAGTGTGTATTATATTGAACAAGCAAAATTAGAGCTTATCATGGAAACTCGATAAAAATCAGTGAATGACGACCGATATTTCCATTGAGGTCATTTGTAGATAAACAATGATATAAATCGTCTTTATCACTTAAAAAAAAAAAGTTTTCAATTAAAACTCTATATATACAAGTTTTGTCGATTTTTTTCGAGTTCCAGTTTTTCCGTTTAATATAATATATAAACTCGTTTCAGTTTTTCATTGAAGAATAAAAATGACAAAAAATAAACTATAAATTTATATTTGACAATATTTTACTTATGAAGTAAATTTTTTGTTGAATATTTTTTTTTTTAATGAAAGGGAAAATTTTTCTCCACTTGTACATGAAAAATATTGATTATTAGTTTAAAAATTAAATTTATTTTCTTTTTCTAGTAATATTATTGAAACTATTTTTTTTCTTCTAGAAATTAGAAAAAGAGGAAATTAAAAATGTTGGCAAATGGACAAATTAGGTCAGGACCCGATCCCTTCGCACATAATATATAATAATATACGTTTACGTCTACGCCTCCTTTTTGAAAATGGATCTCGAAGGTGACCTAGGTAACGTTCTTTACCTTAGGTGGAAGGTCGAATCGGAAGAAACGTATAATCGTTGATGCGAGTCGATCAGATCATGTTTCTATATACAGGGGGATTTGTAATTCGTGACGTAATTAACTCTCACATACATGGAAAGATGTTTTAGCCATAAAAACACATTCTCCTCGCAATAGAAAATTCAATTTCATCTATAGATTTTTCAAGAAGAAAAACAGTTTTTCTTTTTTCCTTCGTAGTTGTCAGTTAGTGTTCTTTGTTATAATTAACAAAATTTCTTCGCTTAAAAAAATGACTTAGATAAAATTTTTATTTTCATATAATTTAAATAAGATAGATTTTATAGTCGAAAATGTGGAACTTAGTTTGGAATAATTGAAAATGAAAACTTCAAAAAAGTGAATCGAGGGAAAATAAATATTGCGCCTTTTTTTGATTTATTGTTCACCTGGTACATTGGTAACATATATAATAATATTAGCTTACTTTAAAGTCATAACACCTAAAAAGGAAAGTTGTCTCTTGTAGGCGATTCAGCCGCGGGGGCGAATATAACGTCGTCTCACCTCCGATTTAAGAATCAACTTCGCAGAGTGAAGAAATCTCCACAGGTGTTCGGGGTCCAGATTTTTCTTTGTCAATCAGCCAAAACAAAAAAAAAACAACAAACTTTGTCAATAATATTCGCGAGATTTATCATGTGCAAGTGGATAAAAAAAATTTCCATTTTTACTCTTCAAATTTAAAGTAAAATAAAAATTCAATTAAAATAACGAAATTAAAATAAAAGAAAAATTAAAACAATATAAGTAAATTTAAAAATATATTTAATTCTGTGATAGTGTTTTTCTTTTTTAAATACAATTTTTCTATTATAATTTTCTTTTTCCAAATTTAAAAAAAATTAAAAAATGATAAGGTGAATTGTGAAAAAAATCCCAGGAAAAGGGGGATATTTAACAAAGCAAAAAAAAAAAAATAAATAAATATATGATCATTAGTGAATAGTGTAACTAATTTATTGGTAAATGGACACAGATGTGCCGTCCATCCTTTTGCCGTGCGCGATTTGCGCACGGACCTTTGCTCCAAATTCACTGGATAAACATGCCAAGATCTGCGAGAAATCGTCCATTAAAAAGAGAAAGCCCTTCGATTCTGCCAAGCAGAGAATCCAGGGCACCGAACTCGAAGAATTTCTTCCAAAGCAAGAAAATAAACGATCTTATCAGGACGAAAGGATTGCTCGATCAAAGTCCTCGTGGAAACAAACGCACGATGAATTTCTTCGTGCAATTAGAGCAGCGCGCGGTGAACCTGTAAGTTGATTTCAACTTTTTTTCAAAATTGAAGAAAATTAGCTTATTTTAAAAATATTTTTCAGACTGAAATTCAAACGAGACAATCGACAAACCAAATTACTTCCGGTGCACCAACAAGAGCAAATGAAAAGGGTATATGTCCAACTTGTTGTCGGCAATTTGGTATCAAAGCTTATGAACGTCATGTGGCATGGTGTAAGGAAAGATCAACACGACTTCCTATTAGTCCTGCGACAAATGTTGCCAAAGAACGATTGGAAGCACGAATTAGATATCGAGCGCCAGCGTTAAAAAATCGAAGACCCACAGTAAGGGAAAAATATATGCCCGGTTCAACATCTAATTTGGGTTACACTGCCAAAGTCTCTACATCCAATCTAGCAAATGCGATTAAGCCCAGGGAAAGCGTGTCACTTCCCAACTGTAATAAGAACACCGAAAATTTACCAAAACACAAGCTAGCTACGTGAGTAACCATTTGGCATATTGCCAACTTAAATGATTTATTTTTTCCGCTTTACTTTCTTTTTCAAAAACAAAACAAAAAAAAACCGACAAATGACGTTTTAATCTTGCTTTTGAAAAAGACAAATTTCCCAACCCCCTAATATTTATCATTTGTCAAAAAATTAAATTTTTTACTCAAATTCTTTTCAGACGGAAATCAAATTCAAGTAATATTTCTATTCCAACGGGTCCTCTTAAATCGAGACCAGTAGATCGAGCTAATAGGTGAGAAAAATTTTTAATTTCCCTTTTTTTTACAATTAGGGACAAATTTTTTTTCAACAATGCGCATGAGGAGAAGGGAAATGAACGCGATTTAATTTAAAAAAAAAAAAATTTTTTCGAGTAAAAAAAATGTATCCTAACCTTCTCCTGATGTCAATCAGGCAGACATCCTTGAATTTTATTTCCTTCTCCTCAGGCAAGTGGAAGACTTGGTACCTGATCCTTCAAGACCACAAACTTCTCTCCTTTCCTCTCCATCAATACAGCATCTGTCTTTGAAAAAATTTGATAAATACATCAACACAAAATTGACTAAAAAAACCATCACAAATCCAATCAGTCAACAATCAATTAACAATTTGAAAAAAACGGAAAAATTCCATTCTCTCTCATCAGGAAATTATTATGAAAATTTACATCTAAATGATATTTCATTAAATAACAATGAATTTGGTTTAACAGTACAATCATGTCCCCTTCGTAAAAATCAAATTACATGGAAGCAAATTCCTCAAGATAATATTTCGAAATTTAAAAAAACAATGAAAAATAATTCTCAGCGAATTGTCAATAAATTTCCATTAACCGACGAAATATATCCCATTGAATATTACAAAATACCATCGTGGATGAATAATATTCGTAAATTGGATCAAACTTTTTCAATTTTTAATAATTTAAACAATAAAACATCTGACGATGATAATAAATTAGAAATGAATTATTTCGAAAACAATTACCTTGAAAATAATGGTAATATTTCGGAAGAGAGCAGTCCATTTGAAACTAGTGATTCGGAATTTTTTGAAACATCACGTACAATATTAGTAAGTCCAACGAAATTTACTAATTCCGAAAATGAAACACAATTACATGAAAATTTAGAAGAATCGAAAATAGAATCAATTTCCAGTGAGACAAAAATAGAACAATATCCCACAATTTTTTCTAATTCTCCAATTCATAAAAATTCAGATTCAACTTTGGATTTTCCCATAAAAACAAAACATAATCAATTATATTTTGAAGAATTAACAAATAATGAACCGGTAAAAAAGAAAAAAAGAATCGAGAATAAATTTTTCATTCCAACAATTAAAATAACAGAAAATGATAATAAATTGCAATTCAACAATTATGAAATGATAGCAATTGACAGTGTTGAAAGTTTAATAATGAGAACGAAAAATCTTAAAATAAATGACGAAAGTGAAATAGATTTAATGCAAAGAAAAGAACAATATGGAAAGTTAAAAGAAGAAACAAATTTCTTACTTGAAAGAAAGTTAAAAGAAGAAACGAAAGAACAAGAAAACGATATCGATAGAAATCAACCGTTAGAAAAAGGAGAAATCGAAGAAATTAGAACACAAAGGAAAAAGAAGAAATTTTCCAAAAAAAGTTACAATTTTGATAAGAGACTTAAAGTATTATTTAAATCGGATATTCCATTTCAAATATCAGCAAGTAATATTCAATTATATGATCAATTTTTGAAATTCAAAAGAAAAAATCGCAAAGAACACGAATTGGATGATTCATCTTTATTTTATTCGAAACAAGAGGAAAATAATTATATTGACAATAATAATTTAAAAATTATTGAATCAAATAAATTATCTGATGTTGAAAGAAAAATTCAATGTAATATCGATCTTCTTCGTAGTAGTACCGATTCATTAATATCATCAATTGAAGAATCGAATTTCAATAATTCTGATTATTGTATTAATGAGACTTATATTATTAAAAAAATTCAAAAATCACAAAAAGAAGACAAAAAATATACTTTACTTCCAATTTTAGAAAATTCTAATTATAATCAAAAGAGAAATTTTCGCGAAACATTATATTGGAAACGAATGTCAAAAACTCCCATTCATCGACTGATTGGAAATGAGGCATCAGATTTTAGAGAGAAAAAGAAATTTGAAAAAAGAAATCCTAAACATTACAAGTTGCATTTTATTCCTGGAAAATCGAGGTAGATTTAACAAAAATAATTTTTCAACCTAAATATGAATATTTAAAGAAATTAATTTTTCATAATTTTCAAAATGTAGTTTAGAAAATAATTACATTAATTTTTAGGTTTTTTTATAATAAAAATTTAGAAAAATTTTAGAAAGATTAAAAAAAATCATTTATAGGTTCATTCTTCCGGATCGTCCAGCTTGGAATAATTATGTTCGAAAGCATCCGGATTTTTTTATGGTTCTTAAGGGTAGAACGTAAGTTCAATGATTGCGTTGAATCGACGTTATTTTTTTGGTGTCGTTTTTAAATATGCACCAAGTGTACAAATTCACAATCGTTATATGAATATTTCGTTGCACTTTTTTTTAAATTGACAAGGCATGATGCAACACAAATATAATTGCTTGCTCACACAAATATTTGTCTCGTGACCCCAAAAATATGAATTTAAAACAATTTTAATTCCTGTAAATTCATAAATTTTTTTTTAATTATCCAAAAGCGATCTTCCTCCAAAAAATGGGTTTTCCCTCAATTGTCTTTAAAGGAAAAAAAAAACAAAAATTGAAACAAATTTCTTTTCTTCCAGTTGCAGTAATAAAACGTATGATCCTTTTCTCATGGCCGAACAACAAATGCAGGATCTCTTGTCAGACACGAGTGATCAATTTTCAACAGACGGACAATTAAATCGACAAAATTCCCTTCTTTTTCCTCTCACACATTCATCGGCATTTGTCACATATCCCACATCACAATCATTAACAACTTCTATTGTTGATTCAATAAAAAAACGTGGTTCCGTATTAGCTCCACCCAATGAATTTAACGATGATTTAACATCGGAATTTTCTGAGACAAATTCAGAAATTTTTCCCAACAATCACATGACACGCGATAAAATTATCAATTCAACAAATAAAGAAAAATCACAAGATCACATTTTAAATCGACGTGTTATTATTGACAAATCAAAAGCAATTGATAATGAAAATTTAGATCGTATTCGAAATTCATCATCATCATCGTCATTGGCTACAGTTGATAAAACACGAAAAATGCTTGAAAAAATTCCAACACAAAAAATTAATCGTCCTCTAATGATTAATAGATCAAATTCGGTTCGTGCAGTTTCGGCACCAAAAATTCCTGAAAGAAAAATTTCCTCATCATCATCGTCGGATAGTTCGAGTTTTCAGAAAAATAAAAATAATTTTAAATGCTCAAAAAATTTGGATTTAAATTTCACTGACAAGAGCAATAATAACAATAATGATAATAGTAATCTTAATAGTAATAGTAGTAGTAAAAATAGTAGTAGCTATACGAGTACAATAAATGGAAGTAATTTGAGTTTAAATTCGTGTGTTTCATCGGACATTGATATGAAACGTTCAAATTCAATGTTTGATGAATTGATGAGCTCCTTTGAGGAGGATAGCTCGACAATTCTTCCATCCTTAAAATCCTTTCTTAAAAGTGATCCTTTATCCATGTCTAGTCCGATCCAGAGCAATCTCAAACGAAATGGCCAAATTAGCGACGATGAATTGTCATCAATTGATAGTTTCAAGAGGCAGGATCACGGTAAACTCAGCGCAGATTCTGCATACAGCAGGTGAGTATTTTTATTTACCAAAAAAAAAATATATTATTTTAATTAATTTTTCTCATTATATTTAATTTAAAAAATTTTTTTCTATCTAAAAATCAAAAATATCACAAGAAAGTTGTAACGATTTTTATTATAAAACTGATCGTTTAATTATTGTTTACTATTAAACTGGTTTAAGGTATTTTTAAATTCTATTCATAGTTTAAAAATGGTTTTTCATTTCATAATATATAATGTGTACTTGTGCGTGTCGTCCTCGCTAATTAAAGATCTTTTTAGTCGTATGTATATGTATATCTATGTGAAAGTTAAGCACTTTCTATTTCTGTATCTTCTTGAAACACGATCATTCCTTCTGTCCTTTTTTTTTTTTTTACTTTTTTTCGTCTACTCTTCTCTTTTTCCATAAAATCAGTATGTTATAAATAAATCTAGATAAAAGGGGAAAATTTTTAATTTCTCTTGTTTTTTTTTATATTCAAAAAAGAAAAAGAAATTTTTTTTCAAAGAAAAAACAAAAATATTAAAAATTTCTGTATTTTTTAAAATGAAATTAATTTAAAAATTAAATGTTGTTGCATGCCTAAAGTGTTTTCCTCTATTTGTTTCATTTCTTAGTTTAAATCGAAAATATTACAACCATGGACGCAGCACAAACGATATGGCGAGTCGTCTCGATGAAGATCCACCAGCACGATATCGAGAGGGCGATTCACGATTTTTAAATAAAAGTAAAATGTCCAAATTCTGTCACGAGTGTGGTTCAAGATTTCCAGAAAGTGCCAAGTTTTGTTGCGAATGTGGTATCAAAAGGCTTACCCTGTAATTATTTTTATCCGTAAGAAACCAATATTGACTTTTATACTCTATAATAATATCTTTGGTAAATTGAGTTTGACTCAAAGATAAATTTTCTTTTTTTCTACATGAAAATTATGATAATCAATTAAAAAAGAAAAGCATTTAATGCTATTTGATATAATGAAACAATCAGGTAAATTCGTATAACAAACAAGTTGTCAACAAAAAAAAACTTCGATGCGAAACTTCGAAGAAAATTGAATTGAATTTTTCATTAAATTAGTCATAACAATTTGTGTTCAATTTTCATATACAAACAAAAAAGTATTAAAAAATTTAATTTCAGTTTGCAATATCCCAAGGGTTAAAGTAAAAATAATAATCTGTGATTGAATTTTATTTTTTTTTTAATCAACTTTCAAAGACGTCAAAATTTAATATCGAGTTTTCCAATAATTTTAGAACTATTATATCAAGTCATCGTATCGTCTGTATTGCAAAATTCTTGATTGATAAAATTGACAAATTTTATAATCCGATTTCTCAAAAATTGTTCAAATTAATAATAATAATAATAACAATAATAGTCAATTAATGAGAGATTTTGACTTGAAAATAATAGTTGTAAAGAAAAAATAATTTCTTCCTTTTATAATAAATATTTTTAAAAAATGAAAATAATCGATAAATAAATTCTCATATAATGAATTAATGGAAAATATTTTTAATGATTGATTCTTTTTTCTTTCATCGACGTCTTCGAAAAATTGAAAATGTAGCGTGGTTGCTTATTTACAAATGTTAATTTTGTTATTGCCCGGTATATATTTGTAATGAAGTTTGTTTATTAAATATTTTAAACTATTTAATGACTGATGGTCCTATTTTCTAGTTTGCTTTTGCAAAAAAACAAAAAATATCAAAAAGCAAATTTGAGTATTTCAATTTTACAATAAGTTTTTGTAATGATTTTTTTATATATATCAAGCAGCACAAAAGTCATAAATGTTCATCTGTAATTCATTACAATCATAAGATAGTTTTTAAGGTACGAAATCGATTTCTTTATTCTTAACTAAAACAAAAATTAAATTAAAATTAAAAGAAAAAATTATTTTTCAATCTTGAAACTTGTAGAAAATAAAATTATTCTGAATGAAAATTGGAAAATGTTTTAACGAACAAAAAAATCGATTTTCAGTGATCATAATTTTAAATTTAGATGAGAGAGACTGGTACGAATAATGATTTTTATTCTGTACTTTTGCGTATCGAAGACGTATTTTGCAATTGTTTTTTTTTCGTGAATTAAAATTTAGATGTAATTATTTACGTTATTCTTCGAAGCTATTGTGTTGATTCATCATTGTGTTAATTAATTATTAACGGGAAAATAATTAACGATATGCGATTTTTTAATGCGTCAGAGATATTTTTAGTCAGCAATATTTATTTTTCTTTTTCTATATAGAAAATTCTCAATCGCAAATCCATAACAAGACTGACTTGGAACAAAAATTTTCATTTTATACATTAGCTTTATTTAGAGATCAGTGCCATAACTAAAATTTCACAATTTTATTACGTTCCAAATTGGTTTTTCATTTAAACAATAAATTAATCGTAGAATTTATTTTAGAATTTTGTTATAAAAATTGGATTACTAAAGAAATTGTATGTTTAAAAAAAATTATTACATTTAAAAAATAAATTATAGTTTAATTATTTTTTAAGAAATGAAATATAATTTTAAGTTAAACGAAAGAGAATAAGTATATATATGATTAATAAGAATGTTAAGTTTAATGTTAATTTCAATGCTTATATGAATAATTTTAATAATTTTATTCACGTTATTATTTAATGTTTTTAACCAACTTGTTAATTTTTAAATATTTTAGTTATGGTTCTGCAATTTTTTTTTTTTTTTAATGAATCGAAATGTGTATTAGTGAGCACGTGGCACCTGAGGTTTTGTTTTCACTCTCTGGTTCCCTTGTACCAAAGAAGAAATTCACAAAAAAAATCTAATCATCGCTTTTGAATCATCGATTCTTTTGCCATATATAATAATTGAGAAAAATAATTATAAAAAACTAACTAATATATAAATATAATAGGTATTTATGTTATTGTATAACAATAACAATCTGCGTACCTTTCGAATTGTATTTTTGCAAGTGCAATAAAATGATGCTTGTACAAAAAAAATTGACTTCTTTTATTTCACTTTAAAGTTCAAAATAAAAAAATTGTTTTATCCAATTTATTTTAAATTGATGAATAATTTTTTATAATTATTATTATATTTTATTTGTTTGTTAAATTTTAAATCGCCAATGATACGAAGTTTATTCTAGTCGATGTTCTTTCGTTTTTTTTATTAAAAAATGCAACTGTCATTTAATTGACAGGTGTTGTCATTTCAAGAAAAAATAAATTCACTTTTAAAGTAAATTTAAATAACAAAAATAATAAAATCCTTCTAAATGTGGATTTGTAGAAGTTTGGAAAATTTATTTCGCTCAAGGCCCTTGTTTGTAAGATAATAATAATAGTAATTCTAATAATAATTGAATTTGCATTTATAAAATTAATTTATTATATCGGGGAATTTTATTATTTTACAGCAAACATGTATGAATTCAACAATTTCAATTTCGAGAAATCTTCATATGAATATTTCGACAGCGGATAAAGCGGAATGCAAAGTGGATTCAAATAGTGTAAGTTGTTTTTTTTATTTTGCATAAAAATATTGATATTTTTTTTTATTAATATTTGAATATTCTCCTTTTTTCGGGGGGGTTGGGGAATATTTTTAAGGCTTATACGACAGTGGATCATTGTTATGATTGTGTAATTATTGGTGCTGGTGGTGCTGGATTGAGAGCAGCTTTTGGCTTAGGAAGTAAAGGATATCGTGTTGCTGTTATCACAAAACTTTTTCCAACAAGATCGCATACAGTTGCGGCTCAAGGGGGAATAAATGCCGCTATCAGTGCACAGCATGAGGACAATTGGCTTTATCACATGTACGACACTATCAAAGGATCCGATTGGCTTGGCGATCAGGATGCAATTCATTTTTTGACACGCGAAGCACCAAAGGCCGTTTTTGAACTCGAAAATTTTGGTAGTATTTCTTTTTATTTTATTTTTTTACAAAAGTGGTAAAATTTTTTTAAATTGATCCTTTTTTCAATTTTATTTTTTTATAATGACAAATAATAAATAAATATATTGATGGAAAATTTTGAAAAAAATTAAAATGATTTTTAGGATGTCCATTTAGTCGTACGGAGGAAGGAAAAATTTATCAACGAGCTTTTGGTGGACAAACATTAAAATACGGCAAGGAAGGTCCTGCATTTCGAACCTGTGCAGTTGCTGATCGTACAGGACATTCTGTTTTACATACACTTTATGGACAAAGTCTTAAATACAGTGTAAATTATTTTGTCGAATATTTTGCACTCGATCTTCTATTTCACGGACAATGTTGTAAAGGAGTTTTGGCATTGGAATTAGAGACTGGTCTTTTGCATCGATTTCGAGCTCATCACACGGTACAATTTTTTTTCAATTCAAAAAAAAAAATTAAATAACTATTTTGTAATGTAATTTTTAAAACTTTAATTTACAGAGATAGAAAATTTTTTGATTTTTTAGATTTGTTAGTATTTTATAAATTTTATTTGTAAGTTGCATTTTTATTCTTTTTATAATTCTAATTGAGAAATGAAATTAAATTGAAAATCTAATTGTAAAATTAAATTATTTTTGTTACTTTTTTTTTTTAAGAAATTTTCATCGGTTGGATAAATTAATTTTTATAAAAGTTGAGCGCGTATACGATATTCTATGGAATGGAAAGTGAAGGACGTCTTGTTATTTTTGTTATTTTTACTGCAGGTTTTATATATAATCCATCACACAGTTGTTGCCAATCAAAAAAATAATTTGCATACTTGCCTTGTAGATATTGGCAACTGGGGGGTCAGGACGATGTTTTTTTTCTTGCACTGGTGCTCATACGTGTACAGGTGATGGAATGGCTATGGCTTCTAGAGCAGGTCTTCCTCTTCAGGATATGGAATTTATTCAGTTCCATCCGACTGGTTCGTAAAGTTGAATATAAATTTTTTCTTCTTTTTATTTTTTTATTATTTTATTATTTATTATTTATTATTAACAATTACAATTTTTATATTAAATTTTTCGTAATTAAAAAAGAATTATTAGTTTTTAAATAATTTTATTATTTTTTTTTAAACGAAAAATTGTGTTTTTGAAATTATCATAAAACACAGGAATTTATGGAAGTGGAGTACTAATGACAGAAGGATGCAGAGGTGAGGGTGGAAAATTGGTGAATTCAAATGGAGAATTTTTCATGGAAAATTATGCACCAATTGCCAAGGATCTTGCATCTCGTGACGTTGTTTCGCGGGCAATTACAATGGAAATTTTGGAAGGAAGGTAGAAAAAAAATTTGTTTTCATTATTTTCTATACAAATAAACATTTTTTTCCCCCATAATTTAAATAATTTAAAATAATTTTTTAATCTTTAGAAAAAGGTATTTTAATTTTAAATTGAAAAAATTGGAATTTTTCACAGAGGAGTTGGAGAGAGAAAAGATCACATTTATTTACAAATGAATCATCTGCCAACTGAAGTGATTCGAACAAAATTGCCCGGTGTTTCTCATTTAGCTTGGGTTTTTGCTGGTGTAAATACTGAAAAGGAACCAGTTCCTGTTATTCCAACTGTGCATTACAACATGGGAGGAATTCCTACGAATTACAAAACACAAGTGAATTTATTTTCTTTCTCTCTTTTTTTAAGTTTTTCATTTCAGTATTGAAATCGAGAATTTTATTATTTTAATTTTTGATAATTAATAAGAAGAAATAATGGGTCTTTGAAGGTTTTGACGAGGGAAAATGAGGAGGATAAACCTTTAGCAGGTCTGTGGGCAATTGGCGAAAATGCTTGTACTTCAGTTCATGGAGCCAATAGACTTGGGGCAAATAGTCTTTTGGAAATTGTTGTTTTTGGAAAAGCTGTCACTGATGAAATTGAATTATTGACGAAACCAGGTGAACGTCATGAAGAAGCCTCGCCGGTAATTTAATAGAAATTTATTTTTAAAAAATATATTATCTTAAAAATTTGGAAATAAATTTTTTATTGAATTTAGAATTTGGGAGATGAAGTAATTTCCCGATTTGATGCAACTCGTCATTCAAATGGTGATATACCAGTGGCAATTTTACGCGACAATATGCAAAGAACAATGCAAAAATATTGTGCAGTTTTTCGCACCTGTGATGTCCTTCAAAGAGGATGCAGGGAAATATCTCGATTGTACATGTGTGATCTGCCAAATATTTGCGTGAGTTTATTTATTTTTTTATTAATATATTATTATTATTATTATTATTATTAAATTAATATATTTTTGCTGTTTTATCAATTTTAATGTTTAGATTCAAGATAAATCTCTAATTTGGAATACTGAATTAGTGGAAGCTTTGGAATTGCAAAATCTTCTACTTAATTGTTTACATACTGTCTACTCAGCAGAAAATCGAAAGGAGAGTCGAGGATCACATGCCAGAGATGATTTTAAAGTAAGAAATTTTTATTTTTTTTATTCTACTTACAATTTTTTTTAAACAAAAATTACAAAATTTAAATTAATAATTCCTTTTTTTAGACAAGAATTGATGAGTATGATTATACGAAACAAATTGAGGGTCAAGAAAAATTACCATTGGATAAACATTGGCGAAAACATACTCTTTCATGGGCTGCTGATGATGGTTCTGTAAGTATTTTATTTTTTTAATAAAAAATTAATTTGGATAATTAAAATATTTAAACTAATTTAAATTAAATAAATACTATTTTATTAAAATTTTCAATTAAAACAAAAATTTACAAATATAATTATGTGGAATAATTAAAATAGCAAAATAATAATTAATTACATAGATCAGTATTTCTTATCGTCCTGTAATTGATACAACTTTGGATGAAGAAGAAGCTCAACATGTACCCCCAGCAATTCGTACATATTGAATTAAATTTAGAAAAATTTTAAATGCAATTTAAAAAAAACGCCTTTTTATTATATTATAAAGAATCTTTCATTTAAAAAAAAAAAATCTATAAGAATTGAAACATTTTATTTAATCAAATACTATTTGTCCACTTTAATTTTATTCAAGATGAATAATTTTCAATTTTAATAAACAACTAAATAATTAAACAAAAAGAATAACATATATTACAAATTTTTTTTAAAATTTAAAATTTTTGCCGCGTTCTTTTTTGCAGCGCATGTGCGTGATAAAAATAAAAAAATAATAATGGGCACTAATTCAATTTATTATAAACTTCGTCGTAAGTTAAAAATAATATTTTTTCTTCTAATATTAGATACTGGCAAGTAAAACTTTATTTTTGTTTTATACATAAAATTTTTAGTATAAAATTCGGCTTTTGTAGATACACTATAAATTAAAATAAAATTTACAATTAAAAGAAAGTAATTTAATTTCAATATACTATAAATTAATAATCAGAATGTATATTTATTGTTTATAGTTTATTACTTAAAAACGAAAAACTATAACAAAAATAAAATTAAAATTATAATAAATATTTCTATTTAATTTCCTATAATATTTAAATCGTATTAATATTTATTATTAAGGGGTAATATAAATATTTTTAATAAATTATAAAATAAGGGTTTTTTTTAAATCTAATTATTTTTGAGAGACACTGACGCATTGTCACCAACGAAAGTAAATAAAAATTTGAATTTACCGCCATTTAAATTTTCCCGGTATTATAATTATTTTAAAAAACAATCTAATATATTCGTGTAAAACAAGGAACTTTTTTATACATTATATAATAATTTTAATAATTACAATTGTTATGCAATATTCAAAATTTTCAAATTATATCCCACAGGTGTTTTAATGATTTTCTTTTAATGTTGGCAGCAATGGATATAATTTAGCCCACAAAATTTCAGTCGGTACTCAACCTTCCTCAAAAGGTAAATCACATTGCCGTGCGAGAAGTGCGCGAGTGAAAAATTGGGGTTAGTCCTGTTTGTCAGATTGTTGAATAATATTGATATTAAATCGACAATTAGGCCTAAAAACAATCATGAACGGATTACTAAAAGTATCAACTATTTTGGCGAAAAATTTCCCGACAACGACTCTGGTAAGATGAATTTTCAGTTACATAATTTTTTTTACTACTATATCTCTTATATAGAAAACAAAAATTATAACTTGGCCCACCTTTATCATGGTTTTGAATCTATACAATTTCATTATATAAATATGTATTAATAATTTCTTATTTTTTATTTATCAATGTAGCGATAATTATTCAAAACAATACAATGCCGCTGGTTCAAATTTAAACAATAGGTACAGTACTGTAATTATGGATTTGGTTCCTAGCAGACGACTCGTGTTTTGTCTCATTTGTTTTGAAGGATTACATTCGAATTTTAACAAAAAAAAAACAATTTTATTTTGCAATTCTTTTAGAATATTGAAAGAAGAAATATTGATGAATTGATTCTTTACTGTTGAGATTTTCTTAAAGGTAGAAAAAAAATAAATAAAAAATATACTGACATTCATTTAGAGCAATTTTCATGTTTGAGAACATCTTTTTATATTTTAAATCATATAAATTTATTGATGTAGAGTTTTATGTATTGTACAAAATTCAGCAAAAAGTTTCCGACTGTGTAAATTAGTTTTTAAAATTATTTTTATTCACAAATTGTCAAAAGGAACCAAAAGGGAATCTATATCTTTTTAGACACACTGTATAATAATTTAAAATTTTTAATTTACAGTAAAATTGAACAAAATTTATTTTCATTTTTAAATATGAAAATTATTAAATAAAATAATTACTGTAAATTAATAATTAAATTGAAAGGTTAGATTAACTAAATTTTGAATTAAAAGGTAACATTTTTTTTTCCTTTTTTTATCTGGTAATGAAATACGTGCAGTGCAATAAAGATTGTGCTCATTGAATCAAAGATATTTCATAACTACTGTGCGCGAGGTAATTGCACTAACATATGGATATATAAAATGCAAAAAAAAATTGTTATGTAATCTTAGTTTTCTTAATGATAAGAGACAAATTACTCGTCAAATGCTAAATTAAATCATCATTAAGATTCAATAATAGACATGATTTTTGACATATCTCTGAGAAGAATCTTTCTTTTTTTCTTATCTGTTATCTCTTTCACATTATACTACCGCCGCCTTTAACGGAAATTGTTTATATAAAAATGTATTTTCTCCAAAACATTATTATTGTTTTTCAAGGTCTTTGTAAAAATTTTATAGTCAGTCATTACTTTTTTTTTACTGTAAATTTAACGATTTTTTTGTTAATGATAAAAAAACAAACTACTTTTGTTTTAAAACATTTCTATTTTTACTTATGATAATACTATATGTAAATTATTAATTCGAGACGGTATTTTAAATAGTCTGTGATGTTGATTCAGGTGGCGTTTTCAATTCAGTTGAATAATTGAACATATTCATTTGAAATGTAAAAATAACAAATTTACAAAACTATTATTTTTTTTCGTATTGAAGAAATTTTGTTAAAAAATTATATATTTTGTATAATTCAATGAGTTTGTAAATTTAATTTTTATTATCAATTTTTATACCAACAAAAATCATGATTAATTTAAATCTAAATTTTTTCAGAATAAATTAGGTTTACCTCTAATTGCGAGCCGTCAATTGCATTATGGTCCAGACACGAGATATGCAAAATCATCGGATGGTGTTTCGAAGAATTATCCTTTAATTGATCATACATACGATGCTGTTGTTGTTGGCGCCGGTGGAGCTGGTCTTCGTGCGGCATACGGTCTTGTTGCTGAAGGTTTTAAAACTGCTGTCATCACAAAATTATTTCCAACGAGGTCACATACTGTTGCTGCACAAGGTGGAATTAATGCCGCTCTTGGAAATATGGAGGAAGACAATTGGCAATGGCATATGTATGACACTGTCAAAGGATCCGATTGGCTTGGCGATCAGGATGCCATTCATTATATGACCCGCGAGGCACCCAAGGCAGTTATTGAACTCGAAAATTGTGGCATGCCATTTAGCAGGACAACCGATGGTAAATTAAAATAAATAAAAATATATATAGCAAAAATTTAATTAATTAATATGATTAATAAATGAATTAAATGTCAGGGAAATTAAAAATGTCCTGGAAAACCGGGAAATGTGAGGGAATTTTTTCCAGGTTAATAGGTAGACATCCGAAAAAACTAGAAATTTCAGTAGGTAAATTGGTCATTAATTTTTTTTTTTTTTTTTGTTTTCTAAAGGAAAAATTTACCAAAGAGCTTTTGGTGGACAATCGTTAAAATTTGGAAAAGGTGGACAAGCACATAGATGTTGTTGCGTGGCTGATAGAACTGGACATTCTCTACTTCATACACTTTATGGTCAATCATTGAGCTATGATTGTAATTATTTTGTCGAGTATTTTGCTTTGGATTTACTTATGGAAGATGGCGAATGTCGTGGTGTAATTGCACTATGTTTAGAGGATGGTTCACTACATCGTTTTCATGCAAAGAATACAGTTTTAGCCACCGGTGGTTATGGAAGAGCATATTTCTCCTGTACTTCCGCTCATACTTGTACAGGAGATGGTACGGCAATGGTGTCAAGGGCAAATTTACCAAATCAAGATCTTGAATTCGTTCAGTTTCATCCGACCGGTAATCTAGAATTTTAAAAAAAGTATCGATATTTTTAGATAAGACGTATATAATTTTTTTTTTTTTTTTTAAAGGAATTTACGGAGCTGGCTGCCTTATCACTGAGGGAAGCAGAGGAGAAGGAGGATATTTGATAAATAGCGAAGGAGAAAGATTTATGGAAAGATATGCACCAGTGGCAAAGGATCTTGCATCTCGAGATGTTGTTTCAAGATCAATGACAATTGAAATTCGCGAAGGAAGGTAAATAGAATTTTTTTTTTCGAATACACAAATTGTATATGTAATTTATTTTTTCCCTTTTTTTTGCGCAGAGGTGTTGGTCCGGAGAAAGATCATATTTATTTGCAACTTCATCATTTGCCACCTGAACAATTACACGCGAGATTACCTGGTATTTCAGAAACGGCAATGATATTTGCCGGTGTTGATGTAACACGTGAACCAATTCCTGTTTTGCCAACTGTTCATTACAATATGGGTAGATTTTTTTCTTTCTTGTTTTTTCGTTTTTTTTCCTTTTATTAATTTTTGTTTATATATTCAGGCGGTGTGCCAACAAATTATAAGGGACAGGTGTTGACTAGTCAAAATAATCAAGACAAAGTGGTATCTGGACTTTATGCTTGCGGTGAATCTGCTTGTGCATCAGTTCATGGAGCCAATCGTCTAGGTGCAAATTCATTATTGGATCTTGTTGTTTTTGGACGAGCTTGCGCAAAAACAATTTCTCGGGAGAATAAACCTGGCGAGAAAATTGGAAGACTAAGTCCGGTTTGTATATTAAAAAAAAACGCAAAAAATTCCTTTTAGAGAAATTGAATTTTTCAATATAAAAATTTATTGGTTTTTATTTTTTTGAATATAATTCTAGAATGCGGGAGAAGCTTCTGTCGCCAATTTAGATTCGATAAGAAACGCTAATGGCTCTATCGCAACGGCTGAATTGAGATTAAGTATGCAGAAAACTATGCAAACGCACGCGGCTGTTTTCCGAGAGGAGCAAACCCTTCAGGAAGGTAATTGACAAATATTTCAATGGAAGATTATTTAAAATATTGATAAAATCAATAAAATTAATTTTTATTTAGGATGTAAGAAGATGAGTGGTTTGTATAAGAAAATGGACGAATTAAAAGTTGCCGATCGATCACTTGTTTGGAATTCCGATTTAATTGAAACATTGGAACTTCAAAATCTCATGATAAACGCGGTGCAAACAATTACGGCTGCTGAGAATAGAAAAGAAAGTCGTGGAGCTCATGCAAGGGAGGATTTTAAACAAAGAATTGATGAGTATGATTATGCAAAACCTTTGGAAAATCAACAACCAAAACCAATTGATCAACATTGGAGGAAACATACTCTAACACACGTTGACATTAGAACCGGTGATGTAAGTAATTTTATTTTTCTAAATCTTAATTATTTATAATCAATTTGATTTTATTGAAATATTATTGAGAGCAATTTTTATTTTAATTCTAATATTTTGTAGGGAATTTATTTTATATTTTTTATATTTTACAAAAATTAAAATTTATAAAATAGTAAATTATACTGAAAAAGAATCATTATTTTAAATCTCGATTAATAAATAAATATATATAATTGTAGGTAACAATCAATTATAGACCAGTAATAGATGAAACGCTTGACTCTCAGGAATGTAAAACAGTACCACCTGCGATTCGTTCATATTAGACAACTTGATAAATTACGTTTTTTTATTAAAAAAAAGTTAGTCTAAAAATTTTTCTTACCCGACATCTGGTTACATGATGTTGTTTGTACGTGCGTCGAATATCAACTGCATTGTGAGTTCAGTTTAAAAAAAAAACAAACTCCGTGCCGACCCAATTATTGCTAAACCACCAATCATTTCACTAACAAGCAATGATTTAATTTATTCTCTCGATTGTGTTTCGTCGTGCACCAAAGTGTAATCTTGTCAATGCTTGCGAACGTTCTTTAACGCGTTATCAAGCTCAATTATTTTTCTAGGATGCTGGTGCTGAGTTTTTTGATTTTAAAAATGATTGGAAAAAAAATGATTATATTTAGAAAAAAAAAGAAAAAAACACAAATAAAAGCCCAGTCGATCTCCGAAATAATACGAAGGCTGTATAATATAAGAATTTAGAACATATAATAACGTCGATCTTAATTACACGGCTTTTAAGGAGAGATTTATATTCCTTTATATTTTTCTAATTTGTTTTGGAAAATATTTCGAAGCTTTTTTAGAATTTTTTTTTTTTTCTTGAGAATTATAAAATTTATACATAAACAATATATGTAATACTCATTGAAGAAAGCTTTAAACTCGTTATAATTTAAAAGTCTCCACGACTATAATTTTAAAGAGCTGAATTGTTTTTCTATCAGCAACGTTTTTGAGAATATTTTTTTATAAGTTACTCTGGATTGTTCAATTTTTGATCATTGCTTTTAACTTTTTTTTAATTTCAGTAAATTCATGAATTTATTATTAATTATTTACTAAAATTGAAAAAAAAAGTTTACAACAATTTTAATAATGTTGCTCCTTAAAAGATCGTGAAGCACAATTTTGTGCCACTTTTGCGGCTTTATACTTAAAAAAAAGAGAAAAGTAAGAAAATAGTCATGACAACGTGAAATCGAATTCGTTTGTTATAATACAGTTTTTGTAACGTAAAATAATTTTTAGAAACAATACTATTGAAAAACAATGAGAAAATAGCTGCAAGAAAGATATCTTGCTTAGATTTGTACATAATTATCGATTTTCAGAATTCTTATATATATAAAAAGAGAGAGAGAAAGAAAGAAAGAAAGAAAAATTAAAAAACTCAAAGCGTTTTTTGGATAAAAATAATATTATCCTTTATAGAAAATGAGCTCGAACAATAAATATAGAAAAAATTAAAAAATATTATTGTGTGGGCGAGAAATTTTCATGAATATTTTGTTAAATTTATTTGCATTTTTTTCAATAAAAAAAAGTATTAAGAAGCAAAATCTAAAAAAAAATATATAAAATCAGTATTTTAGTTTTTTGATAACATTTTTTTCAGTCATAATAAAGAATTCATAATTAACACTTGCGCATATTAATCACAATAGAGTAAATTTACACATACGAAAAATTTTAACAGTTAAAAATTAAAAAAAATTTTATTCTCCTTTTATTTGTATAAAAATTATGATTACGAATGAATAATGAGTGAATTTTGTCTAAGTAAGACACTTATAAAGGAAACAATTTATAACTTTTTGGCCTGAATCAATAAATAATTACGAAATTTTAATTCGTATTAAAATTGAATGTACATATATATACTTACCTGAAATTATTTCTGTTTCAATATCTATAGATTAAAAAGAAATTGAAATATTTTTAATATTTATTTTTAAATTTCTTAGAATATATTGAGAAAAAATATTGCAAATGTGACAATAAAGAGAATTTCCAACAAAGAAATTTTTTTGCTGACTTAAAATATGTTACAAAGAAAATTTTCATTGTAATTAAATGAAACATATAAAACATAAAAAATTTTTAAGTTATGCTTTCAAAACTTGGCCTTTGTATTTTTTATTTAAAATAATAAATTTGTTAACATTTAAAAACGTTTAATAAATATATACAGGATATATAAAATGTTAAGTAATTTTCATTATAGTTTTGAGAACATTTTTTTTAAATATAATTAAATAAAAAATTTGGGGAAAGATTAAAATAAAAAAAACTATTATTATTCTTTGAAATATACAATTAGTATTTTTTTTGATGTAGAAATAATGCAAAACATATCAATGATTGATTTAATGAAATTAAATGCAATAATAAAAAATAATTTTATTGCATAAAATAATAGTAAATTTTTTTTATCCTAAATTCGTCAATATAATCTTGCGATCTTGATTATTTTTATTTTGGTTTAGTAGGAAATTTGTCATTTTCTGTTGTTCTTGTTTCCTCCTTGATTCTTCACGGTATCGTCTCTGATCATCGAGAATTTTATTGATATCTTGAATAATTGTAAAAATAAAATTATTTTTATTTATTTAATTAAAAATTTATAAAGGTTTTCTCGCATTTTATTACAAAGAAAGATTTTATTAATTAATTGTAATTATAGTAGGGAAATAATAAGAAGAATGAAAGTCAATTGTTAAATTAAAATTGTTCAATTGTTATAAATTAAAATACTCAAAGGTTTAAAAAGATTTTTTTTGTTATTCAACACGTTTTGTTATAATTTTATTTATAGATTTTTAACTAACAATTTCACTGATTAAACTTACCTCTTGAATTTCGTAGACCGTTTACATTATTCATATTTCCTATAACAAGAATTGTTAATAATCAATTAATTATAATTATTTTATTAATAAATTAGTAACAATAATAATTATATTATATTATACAGATTACAAATTATTAAAAATTTTAAATTTTTTAACTTTAATAACTTACCAATGCAAATAAATGCAAAAAATAAGACCAAAAAAAATAATTTAAAGTTCATCACTGAATTTTTTTTAAATTTGCAAATAATACAAGACGAAAGTTGAAACGTTTCTAAATTTAAAGTCAAGTAAATATGACCTTATATACTTCGCTTCGAGATAAATGCGATATTTCCTTATCATTGAGTACATAGGGGATTCCCACATTGAATGCAAATTAATCACATGTATTGCCTTTTTTCTCATTAATTATTACCATTTGAGAAAATTATTTATAATCATCGAGATTTTTTTTTAACAATATAATAAATTTATTTTTTATGATTGCATTCATATTTTTAAAAATATTTCTTTATTATAAATTGAAAAAAAAGAATTCTGCATTTTTTATTTTAAAAAAATATAAATTATTTGAGTTATTTGGACTTTATATTTATAAAAAATTAAATTGTTAAAAATAGAGGGAAATTTATGGGGATAATATATTGTAAAACTTAAAAAGTGTATAAATTTATCATACCTTATAAATTATTTCAGTTAAATAAAATAAACAAACTAATAAAGCAATGAAATTAGAAGGATTTTAAAAATATGTAAAAACTTATCAATGAGTATATAGAAAATATAAATATGAAATTAATTAACTTTATTAATTATTATTAATTTAATTAATTAATTAATATTATTATTTATTTACTCTTTGTGTACTATTGCATTAAAAAAACATAATACAGAATCGTTTGGAGTAACAAAATTTTTTAAATGTAAAAACATTACATATTTAAGAAATGTTATATTTGCAAAATAAAAAAATTAATTTTCTCAGAAAAGTTTATTTAATCTACAATGGTATTTTCTTTGTTAAAATTATCTCGCGGTATATTTTTATATAAAAATAAATAAATTTTTCTTCCGTTTTTGTTGAATTAAATTTAACAACAAAATAAAATAAATAAAAAGAAGAAACAAATGAAGAATTGAATTGTTGGACGGAAGCATTTTTAAAATATGAAAACAGGATGTGATTCTGTTAGTGGGGGACCAGACTATATCTTGATCCCAAAAATCTTTGGTCAGCAGTCCATCGAGATCATCATCAAGTCATCTCAAACATGGATGGGAAAATAGTTTTTTTCATCTTGACCATTTTTGCAAGTGTCATCTCTAGTGAAGATTGCCAAGTAAATTTATTGCTTTTTTTTATATATTATAACATAATTTCTTTGAAAATGAAAATAAGATGAATTGGAAAAAAAATCCAAACATATTAAAATTAATCTTTAAAGAAAAAAAAACATAATTTTGAAAAATGTACCAAAAGAGGAAAAACTTCTTCATAAAAAAAACAAAAAGAAAAAAATCAAATACGAAAGTTTTTAAATGTATAATAATTTGAAAAAAAATTAAGATAAAAGAACATGCTTTTTTATGCAAATTATTGAATATAACTTTTCAAAATATTGCATTCAGAGGGAAAAAAAAGTTTCTAATTGTGAATTTTTTTTAACAGAAATGTTATCTTAGACTTTACCATCAACATGATCATGGTCATCACGGTCATCACGGTCATCACAGTCATCACCATCATCACGGTCATAACTCAAATATTCGTTACAAAGACTTGAAACGTCTTCTTAAAAATTTAAATCCTTATCGTTATGATAGATCACAATCACCAAATGTAATAGTGAGTACACCAGTTCTTCCATTTGCATACCCAGGATATCCACCTACACAAGGAGGGGGTATTCCTAATGGTTATGGACCAGGAAATAATCCTTATGGGCTGGGATATAATCCATATGTACCAGGAAATAATCCTTATGGGCTGGGAAATAATCCATATGGGCTGGGAAATAATCCATATGGACTAGGAATTAATCCTTATGGGCTGGGAAATAATCCATATGGACTAGGAATTAATCCTTATGGGCTGGGAAGTAATCCATATGGACTAGGAATTAATCCTTATGGGCTGGGAAGTAATCCATATGGACTAGGAATTAATCCTTATAGACCAGGTGACAATTCTGGTGGACAAGGAGTAATATGTATTTCATCAAAACAAATGCCGAGTGTACCGGTTTTTCGGTTTAGCCCAGGTTCGAACCCTGGGAATAATAAATATGGATCGTTACTAGACGATTATGATAATTCTGATCCTGAAGCTGTAAATCCATCAAGTCGTAACCCGTTATTAAATTATCCAGCTATTCCGTTAATTGGTCGTCGAAGAGGTCCTAATGCTTGGCCCAATTATCTAGGAAACCGTTATCCAGGTCTTAGTAGTCCAGAATCCGGTTATCCAAGACGCGGTTCTCCAGGTGGTTTTCCATGGGATAATTTACCAAGTGCCGGTTCTCCATGGGACAATTTACCAACTTCCGGTTATCCAGGTGGTTCTCCATGGGATAATTTACCAAGTTCCGGTTATCCAGGATCTGGTTATCCAGGCAGTTCTCCATGGGATAATTTACCAACTTCCAGTTATCCAGGACCTGGTTCTCCAGGTGGTTCTCCATGGTATAATTTACCAAGTTCCGGTTATCCAGGTGGTTCTCCATGGGACAATATACCATCTGCCGGTTATCCAGGACCTGGTTCTCCAGGGGATAATTTACCAAGTTCCGGTTATCCAGGACCTGGTTCTCCATGGGATAATTTACCAAGTTCCGGTTATCCAGGTGGTTCTCCATGGGACAATATACCATCTGCCGGTTATCCAGGACCTGGTTCTCCAGGTGGTTCTCCATGGGACAATTTACCAACTTCCGGTTATCCAGGTGGTTCTCCATGGGACAATATACCATCTGCCGGTTATCCAGGACCTGGTTCTCCAGGGGATAATTTACCAAGTTTCGGTTATCCAGGACCTGGTTCTCCATGGGACAATTTACCAACTTCCGGTTATCCAGGAGCCGGTTCTCCAGGGGACAATTTACCATCTGCCGGTTATCCAGGAGCCGGTTCTCCATGGGATAATTTACCAATTGCCGGTTATCCAGGTGGTTCTCCATCGGACAATTTACCAATTTCCGGTTATCCAGGACCTGGTTCTCCATGGGACAATTTACCACTTTCCGGTTATCCAGGACCTCGTTCTCCATGGAACAATTTACCAACTGTCGGTTATCCAGAATTTAATGGTCCCAACTATGGCGATGGGTTGGAACCATTAGATCCATCTGATTGGAATTATCCAAATGATATTGACAATTTGGGTGATTCAAATTATCCTTCAAGTGAAATACCGAGTGGTTCATTCAAGACTCCAAAGTTATTATGCACACCAATAAATAATGAAAATTCTCCTAACAACAGACCACCATGGAGGTAATTGATTTTAAATAAATTATCATAACGAAAATATTAATTAGTTTATGAATCTTATTTTTGCTTAAATTATAATTTATATGCTTTTTTCTCTGTAGGCCTCTAGGACCAAGAAGACCATTTCCTTTAGGTCCAATGGGACCAAATCCTTTAGGACCAAGAGGACCGATGGGACCAATGCCTTCAAGACCAAGAGGACCGATGAGACCAATATCTTTAGGACCAATTAGACCAATTTCCTTAGGACCAATGGGACCAATGCCATCAAGACCAAGAGGACCAATGGGACCATTGCCTTTAGGACCAATGCCTTCACCTGTAGATTGTTCTAAACCTAATATAAAATGGTATTACGTGGCACAAAAGAAACAGGGTTGCAATTGAAAAAGGAAACAAAAATATAGACGGACAATGAAATTCAACATGACAATGAATCTTGGATAAATATAACGCATAAATAATATAGATTTTAATTTTTTTGTTGACTAATTTAAATTATATTAATACGAATATTAATAAGTATTATAATTAATTAATCATTAATTAATTATATATTAATTAGAAATTAATATTAATATATTTAAATTTTCTATTTCATAATATATCATCATTTAAAATTTTTGAGAATCATAATATGCACTTTAAGAATAATTCTGAATGCACATACATAAAAAATTATTTCGTAGAAATCCTATCGATTCTTCGTATTGTCGAATTGCATAATATGAAGAACGCAAATCATCTTTTTTTTCATAACATTTCATAACAACATTGTTTCATTTATATTAGGGGAATTATAATTGACATTGATCTGAAATCGTTATATATTAGGTTTCTGGGTCAAGAATAAATATATTTAATTTAATGATGAATTCTGTTTTCATTCATTTCTCATTCCTTTATTTCTTTAAATTTATTGTTTATATTTTTACAGTCTTTATTGTTTAATATTACAATACATATATATCAAAGTAACGCGGAGAATATAAAAATATTAATAATACCTTAAGAATTAAATTAAAGAAGTAAATCAAACTTTAAAAATTATAATTAGCAATTAATTAATAATTGAGACATTAATTGGTAGTTAAATTAACAATTATTATTAATAATAATAATAAAATAATATTTTATACATATATGTATATAAATAAATAATTCTTTTCGTAATATTCAAAAACAGTTTGATTTTTTTAGAAATAATAAAATATCGTCAATGGTATTAGGCTACAAATCCAAAAGTTCGTTCCAGCATCTAATTTAGGAGTAGAATTAAGATCTGAAAATTTTGTTTTTAAATTTAAAAAAGTTGTAGATATATTTATTCATATTTATTATAATAATATATTGTATAATATATGTATATTCAAAATTTTGAATAGTCTTGGCGCTAAAGTTTTGTAGAAAATTTGAAATTTTTAAATTTCTATTTTTTTATTGCGCAGGCGCTTAATTTAAATATTCATTGTTGTTTTGATTGTTTTCGCGCTAAAATTTTGAAAAGATTTTGAAATTTTGGTATTAGGAGAACATGAAGAGGTCGGGGTACCCTAAAAATTCTGGGACCGATATTTTCTATTTTAATTTTTTTGTACATTTCATACGATTGCCAGTTTGAGGAGCAGTAACAAATTTTTTTATCTTTAGCGAAAAAGTGTATTTTTTTGTGTTCCAGTATAAATAAAAATTTATTGCACACCTCTATGATAATACCATCCTCCATGATAATGTCCACGATTTCGTCGATTACTATTTCCACGATTGCGGCCAGCATAACCATAGGAACGACCACGTCTAGCGTCCATAAATTCTAAATATTTGTATATATGTAATTAATCAATTAATTAATATTTAAAACTAGAACGCCTGATTAAAAAAAAAATTAAAAATTTAATTTTAATTAAATATCACTCACCAATAAATGAGAAGACAATAAGAAGTATAAAAATTAAAACTTTTTTCTTCATTTTAAAAATTTTCAAAACTAATTTCCAAACAAAAATTCCTCTCCTTTTTTTAAAACTTTGTTTATTAATAAAAAGTAAAAAGAAATTCTCTTTTTTGCAGTGTAGTAAAGGTTTGATTATAATACTACGTGTGCATATACGCACTATGACTTTTTTGAGAGCGTTCACAGCTGGGGTCGCGATCTGAATTATTTAATTTATTCATGGTGCTATGATTCTACAACAAGTTCATATAATATCTCTCACCCACTAAGCAAATTTCCTTTTTAATTTAAACAAAATAAAAATCAAACATTAAAAACAACAGAGTTTCAATTTAATTATAGAAATTAAATAATTTCAAAATTAAAAAAAAGAACATTTTCATTAATTTATTTCATTAATTAAAAATTATTTATTTTTCTATTAATTGATTTATTTAATAAATATAATAATAATAATTAAACATATTTACATTTAATATAAAATTATATTATATCTTTTTTAATTTCATTCAATTTTATAATCAAAATAATTAAAAGATAATGTAAGAAAGAAAATATACATGTCTGTATGATAAGTTGCCTGCCACCAGGGGATTGCTCCAATAACGTTATATATATATATATATATATATATATATATAATTCTTAAAAAAATTTAAACATTTAGTTTATTTATAATAAACAATTATTTTCTCAAAATGTAAAATTCTACTTTATTAATTTCTCAAATTTATTTTGCAATCAAACAAAAGATTTCCAATTGATTAATTATTAATAATTCTCCATTTTTTCAATCAATTTTAAGAAGTAAAAAAATCTTTTAAATGTCATTAAATAACTGAAATAAACTTCATAAGATAAATTTAAAAAATATATATTTTTGGAAGTAATTGAATTTTTTCCTATTGAAAAAATAAAACTAGAAGAATGAGATGGATAAATAAATGAAGTACTCTCAAATTAAAAACCGGCATTAAGGTATAATGATTTATTGTAGTAAAATTAGAGTAAATAACAATCACATATCGCGTCATCTATCAACGAGATATAACACACATGTTAAATGATGCGACATAAATAATTTAGATGCATCGTTCGATGATTTGATGCCACGGTGCTTAGAAATCACGTTAACATTAAAAATATATATGTTTATTATATATAATATATATAATATGTATAAATTGTCGAGTTACTTCTATAAATATCTTCTAAAAATCTTGTGTGGCAAATAATCACTTAAGAACAAATTCACAATTTAGTCGTTTCATTTTTTTTTTTTTTCTTTCATTTTATTTATAATTTTTAGGCACCAATGGTATGCGGACCCTGTCTTTGGTACATATGACCGATTCATTTTTCAATATTGTTTTTATTTTTATTTTTTTTCTTAATGAAGACGCTCAATTGGTCCTCCAAGTGTTTTTTTTCAAATTACATTTCTCTTTCTCTCTTAAAACTCACTTACACATCACTTTCTTTTCTATTTTTTATTTTTTTTGTTCTTTAATCAATATATATATATAAATATATATCGAAGATTGGGATAGTCGTTTGTCAGTGACACATTTTTCCTTTAGTGCACATTTCCCAACGAATTCTCAGTCTTCTTCCTTTTTCTCCGGTTTTAAGTCCACCATTGCGTGCAATTCCTCGGGACTGTATCTATAATTAATAATAAAAAATTTCTGGTGAAATTTAATTCATTTTTTAAAAAGGAGCTATCAAGTAATATGAATTTATTTTGAAAATAAAAAATCATTTTATATAATAATAAAAGAAAACTTACCCTAAGAGACTCTGGAGATCGCAAACAAAACGATAAACATATCGTTTACCAGCGGTTTTATGAATAATATTTTTGTCGTAGTAATATCGTAAACCGCGGCTAAGCTTCTCGTAATTCATTTTGGGTTTATTTTTTCGAATTCCCCATCGACGAGCAACTTCATCTGGATCCGTGAGTTTAAATTCCCAACCATCGCCGGTCCACGATATGAAACCCTGACACGATTTGTCCGTTAAAAGTTCTAATAAAAATTGCCACAATTGAATGGGACCAGAACCCGTGAAACATGGACCACTTCCTGTAAATTAAAAAAAACAACCATTAACAATTATTAAAATTTTGAAATAAATATTTCATTTGAAAAAAAAAGTAATTATTGAAATTTTTTGTTGTGTTGGAAAAAAGAAACATACCCGTGTAGCCAGCGAGCATAGCGCTTTGAAGAAGGGGTTTCTGATCGGAATTATTGCCAATCGCTGAAGGATGATGGGGATTAGATGAATCTCTGGGTCCTAGACCAGCTAAGAAAGCAGGATGATGCGATAAATGTTCTCCCAAGGGACCCATTGATCCCCATTGATCGCCACCAACTCCACCGCCGCCACCACCACCAGTCCCACTTCCGCTTCCTGGGACTGTTTGGAATGACGCTGCGTCGTATTGACCGTATCCTCCTTCACTGTACCCTTCATGATAACGACCTGCAATCAAAAAATTCGTAAATAACATTTTTTCTCATTTTTATTAAATATTTAATTAAATTTCCATTTCATAGAAACCAGAAAAGATATATTTTTCTCAGAGCCAAATAAATATTTAATTGTTTGTCAAATAAAAATTCGTGTAAATTGAAATTGATGATGAACTGAATACACACCTCTTGAATAATTTTTAAAGGGAGGTGGCTGATACTTTGGTTCCAATTGAATGCCACTGGCACTATAGAACTCGGGAGATCCATCGAGATTATAGGGATGAGGTGGCTGATGATCCTGCGGTAAATTATGATACTCGGATGGCTCATCGTAGCCAGAATAATGCGCCGGAGTCATATAACTCTCCGATGTCGAATTGCTGACCCGCAGATCGACTTCGTTGCCACTTGTTCCAAGATCACCACCACTTGGTAATCCGCCTCCTCCACCACTTTGTAAATGTTCCGTTATATGATGATTGTTGTAGTTTGCTACAAAAATAAAGAAAAAATTCATTACAATTCAAAATTAATTAATTAAGAGTTGCTACAAAAATTTTATTTTTTCAAAAAAGAATTTTTTTATGACGAAAAAAATTGATACTTACATTCCGTTTTGAGCTGATTTAAATTTCGTAAATGAATGTAGGCGCTATTAGTGTTTGGATTATTATTGTTATTATTGTTGTTCAAGTTGCTGCTAGGAGTGGTTGAATGAGAATTGTTTGGCGGTTGATTGCTATGATTATGAGATGGTGGTGGTGAATTTTCTCTTTGATTGTCATCGTGACACACTGGACTGCGCAGGTGATTGTAACCTCCTGCAAAAATAAACATAAAAAACACAATTAATATTTTTTTATACAACAATTATTTTATTTTTATTACAGTTTATTATAAACAAATAACCAAAATTCGAATCAGTTTTTCTGTCCCTATTTTGTATTTAAAAAGAAATAATATACGAAAACAGTACCAAAATTCGGAACGGTTTTTTTTTGTCCCTTGAAAATATTTTGTATTTAAAAAAAATAATATACGAAAGTGAGTTTAACAGTGTTACAAACAAGAAGAATAAAAAAACTTTCAGCTGTCTTCTTGTTCAAAAAAAAAAAGAAAAAAAGGGGGAACAATCTGATATTTTTGAGAGGGATCTCGTTTTGAGACACACCTCTTTAGATTCTTGACAATCATCTTATTCGCCATTGGGTATTCTAATACATGTAACTAGAGATCTTATAGTCCCTAAATAATACCAAAGGTGCAGATTTGTGTGTATAATATTTCTATATAATTTATTTATTTATTCAAATTTATTATTTTATTATTAATAATATTTACTATTGGTTTAATTGCTCCCTTTATTTTTTTTGCGCATTCAAATTATAAAATAAAAAAATTAAATTTATTAAAAATGAAAAAAAGTCATGTATGAATTTCCATGGAATGATGGGTAATTGTTGACAGAGTTAATGTGTCATAAAGATACTACGTCGTACAAGTTAATTTACTATATTTATATATCAAGAAATCGAGGAGATGGAAACGCGGGAGTAACAAGACCTGGTAATCTGAACGGGAGGAATGGATGGAACGTGGGCGGTGCAGTGAAACGATTGGTGGAGGTGAACTCCGCCTATGTTCGTCGCAATAACTGACAACTGACAACTCATGAAAGAAATTCGCGGGAAGAAGAATATAAAATACAAAAATTAAATTTATTTCACTTTTTTTATTGTTTTCTTTTTAATTAAAATAACTATGTATATTTCAAGTCAGGGTCGTCTTCAATTTGCTCCTTGAAATTCTCTCAATCTCTCTCTCTCTCTTTTTTTTTTTTTATCTTTTTTCAAAAAATTCACAAAACAAAATAATAAAAATTTATGTCAAGGTGTTTTTTGCCATTTTAAGAAAAGTATTTATGTGACAATAAAAAGATAATTTCATATTCAGAAAATTTATTTCGCAAATTAAAATGCGAGATGGTGAGATTAGGGAATTTCGGAATTGGAATTGGGATTCCAAAAAGGACTAGAAAAGAACGCCCTTAATTTGTAATGTAAAACTCATAAAACCTCAATAAGCAAGTATAATTTTTTGTTTTTCAGATTATTGACAATAATAGTAAATAAAAACATGAGATTTGTTACAAAATTTAAATCTAATTTAATTAGGGTATAACATATGCAAACAAGTTGACCCCATATACATATATGTATATAATATGCATTTGCGTGAAAGAAAAAAAAACATTTTCGAGAATTAATTATATATCCCCTTTTTAAGAGATAACGATTATTTGCATTTATTGAATTTGTTTTAACTATTCAAGAATCAGATAAAAAAGAAAATGTTACTGAATTTTTAATTTCCGACAAAGAACGGTGGAATTTTCATTTTTACATACAAAATTTATATTTAAAATTTAAGTTTTTATATTATATATATTTTAATTTTGTTTTATTTTATATATACAGTTTTTATATTACAAACGAAAAAGATTGTAAATAAATTAATATTAATTAATACATATATTATCCACGTATCTTTGAAAAATCCAAAAATGAACCATATTAATTCCAAGGTAATTATTTCTTTAGAAGAATCAATAAAAATTCTTCATTGAAGTTACAATTGTTTAGAACTACATAGATAAAAGTTATCAGTAATTGAAGACATTGTCACCTATTTTCAAATTAATAATTCATTTTGAAATTGCCATTATTTGAAGCTATTATAATTTAAGTGAATTTACCATTGTTTTAAGCTACCATAAATTGAAGCCACAAAAAGTTTACTAAATTTATCATAATCTGAAGCTATAATTAATTGAAGCTACTGTAAGTTAAGGGAATTTACAATTATTTAAAGCTATATAAATTTATATGGATTTACCATTATTTTAAGCTACTATAAATTGAAGCTTTAAAAATTTATCTGAATTTACCATTGTTTTAAGCTACTGTAAATTGAAGCTATTTTAAATGAACTAAATTTACCATAAATTGAAGCTACTATAAATTTAATTGAATTTACCTGGAAGCTACAATTAATTGAAGTTATTAAATGTTGTTTCATATTTATACAAATATTTCTTCAAGAAACATCAATTAATGCACAAAATGTGTATATAAAAATAAAAGGTAATTTGTTAGGTGAAGTGTAACGAGGAGGCACGTTAGTTAGATTGGATGGTTTGCCATTTTTTGAGCGGCACCTGAAAATGCACCTGAAGGGTGCACTTCAACTCATCAGCAATATATATATATATATATAGAAAAGGTGAACGCATGCAAGCATGGCGTGAGGGCCAGCTTCGAGCCAGACTCCCACGCTTTACTGCCATGTATGTTAAAGCAGGTATACGTTTTACATCCACAAATACGTATACATACACATAAAAAAAATATATATATATATATTCCATATAGTGTAGAAAATGGGGTGCGAGCTGGCGTTAAGTACCGGTGTAGCCATGTACAATTTAATGCGATAGTTTAGTAGTAACTTCTTCAAAATAATAATAATAAAAACAATATCTACCTTTGTCTTACAATGTTATCTAAATTCTACATTTTCTATACACCTGTAAGTAAGGAAAAATTGCTTATAAAAAAATCTTTTGAAACTATCAATATTTTAAATAGTATTTGTGAACTATTAATATTTTTTTGAATATTTTCGCCTATGATAATAATATGAAACAATAAATATAAATAAATTTTTAATGTATTTATAAAAATTTAAAATTTTCAACTAGTGTGAGAAATATAGTATCTTCGCACTTCTGCAATATTCTGTCAAGCATTTAAATCACTTTGCTCCCCAAACAAAAATAAATTCTCTACGTTAATTCCAATAAAAGCACTAATGATACATTTTTTTCCTTCTTTTTACAAAACTAAACTAGTTTCCCGGGTCAATAATTTATGCCCTTTTTTCCCCCCTTAAACTTTTTTCTCCCCTCAAGAAAGAAGTTCCCAGATTTCCATATTTGCCTATATATTTCTCTCTCATTTATATATTTATATCTGTGAAAAAGGACATATGTGGCATGTTTCATTTTTTTTTCTCTCTCTTTTTGTATGTTTTAAATGAGTCGTCAGCAGCTGGTTTAATGAATCTGGACGAGGAGCAGCATTCCCATCGAGATCGGGAGAGGAGTGTGACTTGAGAAGGAGAGAGAGAGAGAGAAAAGAAAAAGAAAGGCGAGAAATGAGACAGGGGGTGGGGGTGGGGGGTGAAAAAGGGAAGAAAGTAAGCAAAAAGAAACAGCCGCATATCAGCCGGAGAACAGGTGTTCACAAGACGTTCGGAGAGACCGACTTATATATATATATATATGTATATTTAAGCGCACACAAGCACAGAATGCAAGAGAGCAACAACTGAGGTGGCCAGACAAGGGGCACGCGCCAAATTCAACGAAAGACCAGTCAAGTTAAACTCGCGGTGTGGACAGCTGTTTCCAAAGACCATCAGACTTTCTTTCCTATATTTATATTATAAATAAATGTATTTTTCAAAATTTTAAACCTGTGCCATCACCGCACCAATTGTATCCGATTTTGCCTCAAAACATTATTGGGTTTCAATTTTAAAAAAATGCATTTATTATCTCTGAATTAGTGAAAAGTGAGATACCAATTAAAGAATATCCACTAATTTTTTAGTCACTTATTAGTAAAAATTTAGTAAACAAAATTTTCAAAGCCCAAAATGTCCTAATGTATAAAATTTTCAAAAATAAAAAAAGTAAATAAATTTTTATTAAAAAAAAGGTAGAAAAAGTTAGTTTCTATTTTAAAAAAATCCACTAGAAAATATATGCAAAAATTCATTTAAAAATTATTATTTTATAACTTATCGAGACATGAACTACAAATCAAAAATGTATATTTAAATTTTAAATTTTCCTCAGTTTCATTGAATTATATAATGATGTGATAATGAAATTAAGAAATTATGAAAATAATTTAATATCTACATTTGACACAGAAGAAATCATTAAATAATTAATTTAACATTGTTTCTGGTTAAAAAAAAAGTCTTTAAAAATTCATTCAACGGATGTTCGTCATTATATCAAAGTGGCATGAATAACTCTACTATATTCTATATATCGTTCATTTATGTTGAATTATCTCTAAAATTTCATTCTTCTAAAAAAACAAAACAAAGAACATAAAAATTTCAAATGCTCTAATAAAAAAAAACAAAAAAAAATTAGATATAATATTTTCCCCGTAATGTTGAAATAAATCTCTGATTTTTATCTATACTACTTACTGGTTTTTTCTTACATATGTATATATTTATATTTTTTTTTCGAACAAGAATCCTATTTTTTAGCTAAGCTCATCTCATCATTCATCAAATGGGGAAAAAAGTGAAAAAAAGAATTACTTTCTTTAAATTAATATTAAAATTTTTTAATTACATATACAATAATAGTTTTGAAACTAAATTTTTTTTTCTTTACTAAAGTTATCACCTGCTCGTTCGCGTATATTATAGAAACCATGTGCGTGCCTTACGTTCAACCTGGTACCATAACGAGTGGAGAATATTTGAGTATAAACGACAAGAGAGACAACACAAATATATTTCTTGCAATAAGTGTTTATATATATATATATATATATAGACTTGGTAAATTCAGACTGAAGTTGATTTCTGCGTGTGCGAACCGAGTGTGGGAGAGTTCGCAGGTCACCAGTCTACCGAACAATGCGCGGTTTCGTTGCCGTCGAGGACGACTTTTTTTTTTTTTTTTTTTTTTCTTCTCCTTTATATACAAGCGCATCGCGCACAATCGTCG